ATCTGGACTGCGTCCATCTATCAACCCCAGCTACCTATGGAAGAGAGGGCAATGGATTGAGGGCAGGTCATGAAAAAAGAATATGTCCAGAAACCAATTTTCCCAGTGAGATCAGATGAGCTACCACAGGTACAGAAGCTCACACCTATTTTAAAACATGAGAACATAGTTAAGCAGAGCAAAGCCTGCTCTCTTCCTCCTTGACCCTGAACAATTTATTTCCCTTCCCTGGAGGAGTGGAAACACTTCTCCAGGGAGCACTGAAAATTTATCAGCAAAAACGAGCATCTCTGGAGTCTCACAGAAGTGGATGTACTGAGATGTGGAGTGAGTGGGAAAGCTGGAAGCAAGTGCCAATCCTAATTTGCCCAGAGAAGCTCTATGCCATTGGAACAGACTGGGAAAGGGGGAAAGAAGGCAGCTTTTTTGGTGGGGACCTGAAAAGCAAAGAAGTTTTTGCAGATGCCTGGCCAACCTAGGGTTCAACTGGGCAGTGGTTATTGTAGTGGATACATTCTGAGTTATTTTAAAAAGAGCATCAATAAACATACCATCAGCTTGAAACTGAGGTGTTTTTTTAAACGGGGGTACTGGCAATGTGTACCATAGCAGCTTTTTCTGTTGCAGAGATGCAATGAGAAATGTCAGTCAACTCACCCTCTTGACAGTATCTTTTAGTCCCCTTTTCCACCTTGGCTGCTGTATTGTGCCTGTAGCCCAGCAGCCCACTTGTCCTCTCTCTGCCACACAGTTTTGAATGCAACATCCATTTTGATTTCCATTCCCTAAATTCATTATAGAAATATCTATCCAATTAAATAATTCATATTCTCACTAATCTAGTTTATCACACCACATTTTATAGCCATTAAATTCACTAACAAAGAACGCATAATTTTGGAGACAGCTCAATATCTCAGGCTAAGAGAAGTGTCATAAACAGGTGCTTCATTTCAACTAATGAGAAAAAAAATTCTGTGAAAACTTTGCAAATCCTATATCAAAACTAGGGCTTGAAAAATCTTGGTCATTGTGACTTAAAATTCAAATTGACACTATGAATCCTGCTTCTATTTATTTTTCTGCTCAGCAGTCATCCTTCTACCCACCAGCTGATGTACGTGCTTGGTCAGCTCTGCTCAGAGACGACCTGCCCCCCAGGTTTCCTCATCCACAGTTCTGTGAGTGCTCCCAGTGCTGCAGTAAATAGGAAAAGCTGCAAGGAATCAACACCTTGTTAAATATTTAGGTGTCTCTTCTGTGATTATGTGAGTCTTTCTGTTAAGTTTTCTTTGCTTGAAAACAGTTTTTCAGATATTTCCAGGGGCACTGACATCTCCTCTATCTCATCCAGTGGCATAATCTCACCCCTGCCTGTTGTCTGGGATACACTGCTCACTCCCTTTCCAATAATTTAAATCTCTTCTCTCTATAATCATGATAGTTAAATCTTTGTTTGGCCTATGCTTGTGTTGAGGGTTCTGTGCTGTTTTTTGAAAGGTGTCACAGCCTGGGAATCCTGAATGGAGCAATTTAACTGCAAGCTATTTTATGGGGAATTTTCAGCTGGCATGTCGATAAGACTTTGCCAGCTGGAGTCCAAAGGCTGCACCTGATTTCCTGGCAATAAAGGCCATTGCACCCACCTTCATCTTTCTTGGAGAGCTCGAAAGAGCAACTGTGAGAGGAGGAGCTGCTCCCCTCTCTCATCGTGAGCGGAGGCACCATGTGCTGCCTATGTGATGCCAAGGCTCTCTGCTTTAACTGGCTCTGTGTTATGCACTGCATGTCTTTGTGCATCTGACAAATTATATGACAGGTTACAGATTATTCTAATCTGCTCTGCTACTCTTCTGGTAGCTGAGAAGGGCACGCCTACCATATGTGCTGTGTTATCCTAGCTAGTGTATCCAACCTTGTTTATCTGTCGCCTTTACACCGTATGTTACTCTGTGATTCAAAACTGGTTTCCTGTTAACTGTTTACAGTGATTTGAACAAGATAGACTTATTAAACAGACAGGAAAAAAAGGTTTAATTGCTTATTTCCCCTGCTCTCCTGGGGCTGAATCTGTAGGATTCCATTAAAGTGATTGAGGAGACAAGCAAATGGCACATGTAAGCTGACTTGTTTTCTGGCTCTCCCAACAATTGTCATTGTTGCAAGTTGACACCAACTGTCAACTTTGTCCCAACTTTCATCCTTTACTATCCCATTTTTTTCTCTCAGCAGTAGAGATGGACAGAAGGGATGAGTTTTGTTCGAGAATGACAGACTCAAAAGGCTTTTGTGAAGAGAATTGTCTGCTGCATTGCTGATGTTTGGAATACTTGTTTTTTGTACTTGTTTTACTGCTACAGGAAGCATTTCACCCTGCAATATCATCCCACATCTTCCTCCATAAGATCTTGTGAAAAATATACATAAACAGACTTTGTCTTAGCGGTCAGGCATTCCCTCCTTAGAAACCTGGCAGGATGGAGAACAGAATGCGCAGCCTGTGCAGGGCAGGGTGTTCTTTGGCTTTGGAATGAGTCACAAAACCTGATTTAAAGAATTCATGCTTAGTAATGTGACAGCTGTGATGATGGGTGTGCAGCAAGGAAACAGCTAAGGGACATGTTAGATCACATGGGCAAAAGCAGATCTTGGCTTCAGATAAGTGTGTTGGTTTTCACCCATTTTGATGAAGTGAAAGCTGTGTTGACCTGTTACATTCATTCAACATTAGACTCATAGTTGGTGAATCAGTACCGTGGATTTAGAATCAATGAGGCAATTCACAGTTATATCTGGAGATCTCGAAAAGAGGAGGAGACAAGAGTAACGTGGATGAATGACATGGTGAGAACCTTTTTTTAAAAATGCTGTAGTTGAATTGATTTATGCAGTAAATGACATTAACCAGCAAAATTGGCATCTCCCTTTTGGAGAAAGCTGAGGAAAGAAGCAAGGTGAGAACTCTGAACAAACAGCTCTTCTACTCAGTTTTGTGTCTGGTACTGATGCTTTCTGTCCTATATGCTCTACCATTTGATTTATGGTGTTTTGCAGTCAGGTGTTTCTGAAGCTCTTAAAGGGTCAGAGCAGCAGTGGCCAAGAGCAGTAATTTCTCTCCTTCTCTGCTTGAATGCCTGCCTGTCTTCTAGGGATTTAATATAGGAATATTTTCTATTATATATAAATACATTCTACATATATCTGAAGTCAGAACTGAGCAACAAGCAATTGGTCTGGCTGGAGATGCAAGTTGATCTGCTTATGGAAGGCAGGGCTGGGTGACAGGTAATCTTCCATATCCCATTTTCTTCTACACTGGTAAAACTGCTGTTCCAGTTGTTGTTTTTCTCATCTGCTTATTGTGAGTCAGTGATTCTGGACTGGAAAATTATGATGCTGGGCCTGGGTTTGAAGTTTGTAATTCAGCTTTTTATTTTTATGCTGCTACTAGGATGCCCCGATGTTTTAATGAAGTTGAAAAAATCCTGTGTATCCTGACTGCCCAAGAAGAATTACGTTTTTGTGAACCTCTTATGGATCTGTAAAGGAAGAGCAGAATTATTATCTCTTGTGTCTTTGACTTTGTAGTTTCAATGTAGATTTCTTATTTCATCCATAATCAGATACAGATAGATGAACTGTGTGTAAGTTTAATGCTACGCTGGGTTCAGCTCAGGCTCTCTGGCACTATGCAAGTTTGGAAACCACTTACCACTGGAGGTAGCCAGGTCAAAATATGCTTGGACACATTTTCTCCCTCTGAAAGCCCTGCAGATATTCCTCCACTGGTTACAATGGTGTGTTACCCAGATGTGCTTTACCCTGCTTAGGTATGGCAGAGTAGAGTGTAAAACCCAAGGTGGAACTAAAGAATACTATTGCACTGCAGAAGATATTCCAGGTTTCCTGGTTAAAATTTCCTACAGGGCCTGCATGTACTTTGCAACCAACCCAGGGCTTTCTGCTGAGCCCCAGCCCACAGGAAGAGTAGAGCACGCTGAGGCAATGTGTGCACACAGCCTGTGAGAGAAGCACATACAGGAATGTAATTAGCTCATGAAAATATTTGTCACCAGTACAACATGATGCTTCTCAAACTAGGTTATGATAGGAGGCTGAATGCTGGGATTTAAAAAAAAACAAAACAACAAACAAATTAAAAAACCCAACTAGACTGTTTTAAGGTAGTTAAAGTTAAGGTAAAGCCTAAGAGGAATAAAGCACTTTAACAGTTACTATGTTTTATATATTCTTTGATTCATCCCAGCCCCGAGAAATTAACCTGTAGTTAACAAGAAAATCATGGTACTTCTTTTTAATAGATGGGGGATAATAGTTTGAAGCTGCCTTTATTTTTCCAGTTATTGGTGGAAGGAAAAAGGTTACTTTTTTCCTAATTAACTTTTTTATTTCTTGTTCATGTCTTCATGTATGTTTTGTGGTCTTGCTGTGCTTTTTTTGGTGTAGCTTTGAAAATGTCAGTGTCTCAAGGAAAAAGTGCCTGGTCAAATTCTGTCCTCAGTTACCTGGGGAGAAAAAAGTCAGAGAAATTTATTGACTTTTCTGATATAAAGCTGGATGTTGACTGAAGTAACCCAGCATGAACCAACAAAAATTTATTCTATTCTCTTTGTTCATTTATAGATTGACTTGCCTAGTTATGAGGCCACACAACTAAAACTCTAAAGCTCTTTGTTTTCAATTGCTTTCAATTCAAGGCAGAGGATGCAGCCCCTTCCAAAGTGGGGTGACCAAAAGCATCGTTTGTCTTTTGGTAAAATAGTCAAAACTGCGGTATAAAACCTAAAACCACGGCAGTGTTACGTTCTGGCTCCGGGGAATTGCCCTTTGTGTTGAGCCAGGCGTTTGGCCTCAGAGCAGCGGCCGTGCCTTTGCCGTGTCGGTGTGACGCGTGCCCAGCAGGCTGCGGCCCGCGCCTCCATCGCTGCTCCGGGCTGCGCCTCGCTCTTTGACCCCATTCCTCCTCCGAGCCTCCCTCAGCCCCCGCCGCTCTGTCTTCTCACCTGCAGACAAGAAAAAGGCAGGCAAATTCCAGCCTTTCAAGAAGCTCTTCGGCAGGAGGAAGAAAAGAGAGCCCGCCTCAGAGTGTGAGGAGCCCAAACTGAAGCCCAGCCACTCCTTCGGCAACATCTGCAACGGGAGCTCCTCGGATGAGGAGCCCGGCAGCGGGCTGAGGTAAGTGCGCCCCGGCTGCTGCACACACAGCTCCCGCTCCCCCTGCTTCTAATGGAACTAAAATTCCCCTCTGCTGACTGCCAGCAGTTTGTACGCTGCTCGCTATGAAGCGTGTGCATCTCTCCTTCCTCTGACACCTGCTGCTTTAGACCTCAAAATCTCGCTGCTTAAGGGGCACGTGTGCTGCTCTGCAAATAAGAAATCCCAGGGGGAAGCAGAAATGAATTTGAATCCAGCTCTGTGATTTAACAGGTGAACACCTGAGCAGAGGTATTAATGGCATCCCTGTTTTTAAAACTGGGGAAAGGGAAACTTGAACTGGCTGTTATAGATACTTTATTGCATACATTTCCCTGCAAGGTGGTGTCTTTGGGTTGAGACAGACATCCTTTTTCCCTCTATCCCAAATAATTTTTGCACTGTAATTGGGGTCAACAAACAGGCTGCTTTTATTTTGGACCAATTTGAATGTAAAGCAGAAGAAGGAACAGAGAGGAGAGAGGCACCTGAAAATCAGATCACATTCCAGTGACAACAGAGGATGACAGAAGAACAGCGTGAGAATTTTCTGTGGGGATGGTGGGAGTAAGAAACTGTACAGAGTAAACAAGTCAGCAATCTCTAACTAGGGAAAAAAACCCAAAGTAAACAAACACAAACAAACAAAGAAAACTCAAGCAAAAGAAGCTCTTACCCCAATAGCAACAATGCCCCAAGACCAGATTCACAAACTACTGGAGTCAGTAATAATTCACTTTCCAACTGCTCGTCTCAGAGAGGTTAGCTGGCTCCTGCCCAAAGCCTGCTCCTTTGGAAGTAAAGGAAGTGTTTGCACTGGGGAGTGTATCTGAAAGTGTAACAAAGAAATCTGAAAGGGTAAAAAAAAAATTTCCAAATTCCTCTGCTCAAGAATGAAATCTGTATCAAAAACATCACCCTAGACCTTAGAACAACATTTCTAATGGTGCCTATAAAAATATGATTTTTAAAAATTTTCTATTTGGCGGATTTTTTTTAGCTTCTGGGGTTTTATTCCATTCTGTGAAATTCCTTGTGTACTAGGTTTCCTTTTGGTTTCTGTGGTGTAATACTGTACACCTCTTTTGCTCGTCCCAGAAAAAGCAGCACTGAGCATAGCCACAGTGCAGCTGGAGGAGTGACTGAGCCCCACTGTGATGCATTACCTGAGTGCACGATGCCAAGCCACATGGGGAGGTTTTAGTGCCTTTTCCCTCACGAGCAAACTAAACAGCGTCATCTCACTATCAGGGATTTCCCACTTGGCATAGCTGAAAATGCAGTGCTGCACCCAGAAACAAACAGTGATATGGGAACTTGTCCTGTTCCTCAATCAGTGACATGAAGGTGTGGCAGACCTTGTTTGAGACTGTTAAATGTTTGCATTTTTAATCCTATTAATCTTTCTAATTAACAAAAGCATTAAAAGTTAGCATCTGGTGGAAAAATCAGACTGTAAAATTTAAATCAGAGGGGATTAGTAAATGTGAAAGGTCCCATGTTTCACCTCAAGTGAAACATTTCTTTCTGTCATTCCTGAGAGGTTTTAGCCTGCTAGAAATACTCAGTCAAAGTTCTGTTTTTCCTGTCAGACTTCATGGTGCAAATGTGAGATTTGATGATAATTTTCAGTTTCCAGGTAGTTTTTGCCACTTAATTAATTTTACAACAAGCATAAATGTTCAGTGCACTGCATTCAATTGCTTTGAGAGCTCAGTTTTGTCACTCCGGCCTGTTTTCAATATGTCTTCCATCCATTATATGTTTTAGCCTTTACTGTAATTACAAACATTTATGAATTTAATCCAGATAACTAAAAATAATACACATAGTTGTTTACAAGTTGTCTGACAGTAAATGCATTGCCATACTTTCCGCTATTCATACAGAAATAGACTAAATACAAATAACCAGTAGTATATTTACATAAGCAAAATCCTGAGAAGTTTTGTGAACCATTTGCTTCAAATTCTTTAAGAATGTACAACACCTGCATATTAAAAAAGCTTAATAAAAGCTCCAATTTTGCAATAAAAGCTCAGAGATGTTCCTATTCCTTTAGTAAGTTATATTTCTTCCTCAGCCTGCAGTGTACATGAATTTGCTATCTACAGATGTGTCCTGTGGACATTTAGCTTTGTTTTGGGGAGAGGAGATGGTTGTTTTGAAAATGTATTAAGGGAGGAAGCTGCTTCTGGAAGGTGGAAACAAGCAAATGAATGAGTGTAGGCTAAAGAAGATATCTATATTGCTTCCCAGGCCTAAGCTAGTATTTCACAGAGTGCTATATTGGCTTACAAGCCTGCTCACAGCTAACACCTGAATCTCTAATGGAGACTGTGCTGACTGGGTGATGCAGACGTGCCCGGAGCAATTGAGGTAATCTACATGTGGTGTAGATTGACTAGCTGAGTTGGAAGCAGCCGGAGAGATCCGCCTGTCCATCCTTTCTTACATCTTGGATTCATCAAATGCAAATAACTTGCTTGGTATCCTGATGTATGCACACTTCAAGCTCTTTGTTCATCTATGTTGTTTTGTAATACCCAGGTGGGAGGTTTCCTGCTGCAGTTTGTCTTGCTCAGCCTTGTGAAAACTGGAATTCCTTTTCCCTTTTCTATATTGCCCTTCTTGAGTTAAAAAAGTTAAAACTGTATTCATTAACTTTCTGTCCTAACCATAATGGCTGGGAGATAGAAGTACTGACTACAAGAAAGTGCCACAGGTTTGTGGAGCTTCACTGAAGTCTCCAGAAATTTCTGTTCTGAGGCTATGATTTGGCACATGAGAAGATTTTTTATTTGCCTTTTTTGTCACAGTTGACAAATACTCAACTTCTGAGAAAGCATTGTGAGGACAGACCTGAAAGGGTACCTGTGCAGTGCTGTACTAAAGTTTGTGATTCTGGCTTGATGTGCAGAGGGAGTGGGGAACTAAATTTCTCTTATTTGGGGTACAGTAGATTACCTTTCCTTAGGCTGAATGCAGTATTTCAAGGGACCTGGAATTAGACCTGTCAGATGTTTAGGACTCAAGTGAGACAGCATTGACCTTCCAGGAAAAAGTCTCTGAGAAAAGTTCAGTGTCTTGACAGCCTCCCATAAAATGGGACCCCTTTACTTGCAGCATTGGGCAGTTCTGTTTGAAGAAATCTAGATCAACAGTAAAAAGTGATCTATCTTGGAGTTTCAAAGAGCTCCCAAGAAACCTTCTCTCTGTCACATCCAGTTTTCATACACTGGGAATCTTTTTTCTCTGTGTATTAACTGCATTTCTGCAATTGGCACTTGTCAGTCATTATTTCCTTTCTAAGTGCCTCATTTTGAATGCCTTCTTGACTCCAGTGCAAGTGCCTTGTTTCTGTGGTATTTGGTGTTCACCTTCTTCCGAAGGCTTCATCCTGTCGGAGCTCTGATTTAAGCAAGTATCTCTTCAAGCTTAAGCAGAGCAAAGCAACATAGGGAGATTGTAAGAAATTTTGTTTTAGGAAAAAAAACCTTGGATTTTCCTTACTTGTGTCAGCTGACATGTACATCTGGAAAGAGTTTCTTATTTCCTGGTTATGAGGTGTGTTGAGGATGTTCCAGGACAGATAAGGTTATGGCTGCAGTTTTCCATTTGCATGGATTTTTTTAAATAAATTTTATTACATGTTTTTGGTGAAAAACCATGGTTAATTTTTATGCCCCTAATTATAATAATTTTAGTTGTACTATTAACATGATGCATCAACTACCTAAAGTTAGGCTTGATCTCTACTTCTAAGAAAAATAAATTATGGTAAGTTCATAGGCTCCAGGTCCCTTGATGACACCAGACTGGAGTTTTGTATAAAATAATGCTGAGTCATATATTTGAAAAGACTCTGAGTGTGGCTGCACAACTGATTGTTGGCATCAGTGGGACTTGGATGGGTCATAACAGGCAAACTGTACTGAAAAAACTGAACTGTACTGAGAAAAGTTTTCCCAGAGTTCGTGCCCTGAAATTCATTGAATTTGTTCCTGAAGGTGATATGAATATATATTTAGAATGAATTCAGAAATGATCTCTTAGTTTACTTTATGAAAAAGTTTCCCTGTTGAAAAAGTCTCTCCTTTGTCTGTTCAGATTGTGAGGCCCATGCTTGTGAGTTTGCTAATGCAATGAAGTCATTTGCTGCCTGAGCACAGCTCTAACTCATGTTGCAGCATGAACAATATTCCCCATCCAGGTGTTAGAACCAAAACTCTCTTTCCAGCAGATGAAAAAGAGGACACTGAAAATATAGCTCAGAATTACAATCCATTTTCCTCTATTACAGTATTAATGCTTCTCTGGAATGACTAGAAAATGCAATTTATGCTTTTCATCTCTAGCTGCCCTGGAGACATTCATGGGAGATGCAAAATGTTGTATCAGATTTCTTTTTTAAAACAAAACACCAAGTAGAGGCAACCTATCACTGCACCTGTCATTTCCCTCAGGTAATGTTCTGGGAAGTGGTTCTTGGTTTCCATTGAGGAGATTATATGAAGAGTCAATACCTGGCTAAACCAAATTCATTCTTGCTTTGCACGATTTTAAACTTTTTTTTTGTTTAAAAATGGTTTTATGTTAAAAAGTTGACTTTGATCTTTAACGATTACAGAATTGGTTTCTAATGGAAATCTAAAAGAGTGGAAGTCATGAGACTCTGGGTTTTTTGGAGTCGGTCTCTACAAACATAAAAGAACAGAACAACTCATTCTCTCCCTTTATTTTCCAGTTTCTATTTCTATCTCTTTAATATCAGAGTGGGAGGAACATTTATGACACACCAAAGAGGCAATTGGTGTACTTCAGTAATGCACCAGCATGGGATTATATAAGAGCTGAGGTCTCAGTATTCCTTTCTGGAAAAGCTTCCCCTTTTTAAAGATCACACATTTGTCTTTAAGAGGAGAAATAGCTCTGGAGAAACATGGGGTCTAAAAACATCACAGCCAGCAGTGTCAATACAATAACGTTGTATTCTGTGCAAGTGTCCCTGCACGTGCTCTGATGTAGTTAAGGGTACAGTCCCACAGCAGTAAATGTTGGTTGATGTCTGACTCTTTCCAGCTCTCTACATATGCAGCTAGCATGGAAACTTGTGTCAGGATTTGCTCAGCCAAACCAGGAATTTGTGTGGATTTTTGAGTTCTGATGTTTTGGGGGGACTTTTAATATGTTGGGTTTTTTTGTACTTGGTTATTCTAGTTACCAGATCATTTCTCTGAATTGTTTCATGTGAACAATGACCACTAATATGGCACAAAAAAGGTGATGGGAGCACATGGAGAGGAGGATAAAGAGAATGTGATACCTCACCCAGTCCTGACTTGAGGTACCTAGAACTGATGGAAAATCACTTCCTAAATAGATCCATAGCAGCTGATGGCTGAGGGAGAGTCCAAAGAGGGTCTCTGTTTCCTGCATTTTGTGGGAGAGGAGTAAGACCTTTCCTGTAGGCTCAGGGTGGTCCCATTCTACTGTGAGAGATTTGTTTCACATTTCCTAGTTTCTTAGTGCACACACCTCAACAAGAATGAGTAATGGATAAAGAGCAAATGGAATTTAACTTTGCTCTCAGTAGGAGAAAATTAGTTTTGAAAATTTGTGTACTGCAATTGAAACTGGAACATGATATTTGGGTTGCAACACATCTTCAGGGAGAACATATTTAAAGATCTGTTAAAAGTGCTTTGTATTTTGATATATCACATCCATAATTCATGTAATTTAGGTTTCTGAAAGTGAGTCAGATGATGATTCAACTATTTTCAGCACAAACAGCCTCTGAAGTGTCATCACTGGAAATATCAAGAGAAGTGCTCATAAACTGATGCCCCTGTTTTCCCATGTCTCTTGGAAGTGACATGGAAGTTTGAAACTGTAATACCTTCAGCCATGGCTGTGACTGTATCCCGTAACTCTGCCATGCTGTGAATTTGTTGAAATCCACTCCTGATACTGACATGCCTTTTAATTGAAGGGAGACCTGTCTGTAAATGTGGATGGTGAGGATGTTATTGTATAAAGACTTCTGAGAAAAACTTCAGAGATGGGTAGCAGCAAAGGAAACTCAATTATTCATACTGTATTATGACTTAAAAGAAATTCAGTCTTCCCAAAAGTAGAACATGAGCAAAGTGAAAAAAAAGCAGCGGAAAAAGGACCTTTGTGATATAATCTGTCAAATTCACTACTGGGAAAATGTAAAAAGGTTGTGGGCTCCAAAGGAGTAAAATAAGAGACCTTTCAGAAAGTACAACTCACTTGGAAATCACCTTAACTGCTATTTCAACTTGCCTGTAAAAGAAACTAGGTTACTACAATGTGTGAATATCTTTTTTCCAATGTTCTTTAGCCTACATAGATATTTAAACAACATTCTTAAACTATTTTTACCAGTTGTTGGACATGTGGCTAGCAGAATTGCTCATTCACCCACTTCTGAAATATTCAGCATATTTGCAAAGTATTTTGAAGGGATAGAGTAGGGAGCAGTCTGTCATTAATCCACTGTGGGGTTTCTTGTTTCATGTGTTCTGACAATTTGGAGTATGTTTTATTATTAAGTCAACAAGAAAACAAAAATGGAAACAAAACCTTTCAGATAAGCATGTCCTCAGATCTATGAAACAAAAATGTGTGGAGCCTTGTAATGAGGAGGGAGAGAGAGAGAGTGAAGGAGAGAGCAGTTGGTGTCTGGGAGAATGTTGGAGATGCTGTAAATGCTTAGCATGGTCCTAACCTGCCACTGGTACCATTGTGGGCACTTGTCAAAGACAGGGCTGGATTTTCAATGGTGATGTGGTTGCAGGTCACATGGAGCTGCCAAGCTGCTTCATGTGACCTGGTGTCCCCAAAGGAAGCTGTAAATGAAATGTTGGCAAGTTTTCAGGCACAAGGAGAGACTAGATTCCTAAAAGTGTCCTCAGCTCTGCAGCAGGATGGGGAAGACTTTCACTCACAGCCATGTCCCAGACAGTCCACCAGAACCGTCCTCAGCAGTTGCTCTTTTCTTTCATTTCAGAAATTCAGGCTTTATCAGGCAGTTCCAGAAAAATAATACAGTCAGAGTATTCCTGCTGTTAGTCAGCTGCAGTTCTGGGGTTTGAACTGCTGTCAAATTCCCTTCAGTTCCAAAGCTGCAGGTTTGCTGCTCCCAACTTCAATATTAACAATTCATTAGTAAGGCCAAGAACAACTTCCAAACGAGTCACTGAGCTCTTCGGTGCCTGAATTGCAACTCTTGCCTACTAATTAGTTGTAACAAACAACACAAATATACATGAGGTGTCTGATTTTAAGTATGAGAAGCCCAACCGACTGGACAGCAAGAGGGGTGAATGGTGTTGTATGCATAGCAAATAGCTGTGAGACAAAGCCACAAGTATCTGAGCCACAGCATAGCTGGAAAAAATATTTGAGAAAGGATCCTCTCTGGAGAACAGTATGACCTGGACTATGCATTCTCAGCAGATCTCTCAGCTCAAAGGTAAATAGCAAACAACCAGTTCCCACTGGCCTTGCCTTCTGCACCTGCAGCAGGCTCACACACTGAACAGTGCAAATGGCTGGTTTGTCACATTTTGCATGTGTCCTTCTCACCTGCTTGAATGCAATGCTGGAACTTTCAGTTCAAACAGACCTACACAATTATATGAGAAAAGCCAACTTTCATTCAGTTTCCTGTCAAACCATTCACTCCCAGGCCTGCTGGGAATTTGTCTCTGTGTAAGGGACACTTCTCAAGCTGTGGCTCACTGGCTGACTCCTGGCTGGCCAAGCAAGGTAGAGGAATTTCAGTGCCATGTAATTTTCCCACAGCTGTGTACAGACTGAGTCACAGTGATTCAGTATAGAAACCTTTCTAGAAAAGGGTTTAAAAATATAATTTTATGGTTTATCTAATAAAAACTTTATAAAAGAAACTTTAAAGGTGACCTTTAACAGTCAGAGGCAATTGTGTTATAGTTTTTTGTTTTTTTAAAAATCCAACATAGAATTAGCATCAGTTAAATGTTCCTCTTCTTCCATGGCTAAAAATGTTGTGGAATATTGACCAGCTCCTTGCCTTATTGTGTGTTTATTTGTTTCAAATTAAGCATGTTGGTCAAATATTAATCTGGATGAAAAGTAGTTTTTCAGTTAGTCTGTGATTGTATGGAAGATTAAATGATTCAGAGAACTGTGTTATAAAAATGGGATTGATTATTTTGTGACTGCAGAAGTATTTTATATATAAACAAGGGAGAAGGTTTGGGGGGACTTTTTATCCTGTTACTTTCAGGTTACCTCTAAGAAATTCTGTTATAAAAGTCAAGAATAGTCTATCATCTAATCAGTTTAAGCAGGGCTATGTAATCTTATATGACACTCTCCCTTAGTAAAGAAAAGATTATTGTTTTTACTTAAAATACCTCAGGGAAAAAATGAGATGAAAATGTAATAAATATATTCCCAATTTATTTGTTTCCAAAGTATGAATATAAATATCTTGAACACTTCATGACCAATTAGTACATTTTAAAAGGCAGAAAATATAATACACTGATCTTAAATATGAAGCCTAATTTTTCTTGTTCTTTTGCTTACATCTGTCTCTGGAAGTATCATCTTCTTTGCTTTTGCTAAAATATTTATTTACAATGCTTTAATCATATGTAGAAGGTTATGTTGAATGGATCTGTATCAAAACTATACTTTTTTTCCCCTTCAGATTGTTTTCTGAAACTATAAATGGGTTCTATAGGGTTGCCAACAGGTCATTAAAAAGAGAGATTTGGGACTTCTCAGTTGTTCTGGTTTGGTGTTTGTTTTTTTTTGTTGTTTTTTTTTATTGTGGCTTTTATCATGATTGTAGATTATTGGCTTTTCACTTACCATGGAATATTCTAGGTGAGACAAAACATGACTTTCAAACTGATACATTTTTTCCCTCAGTGTGACCCCAAAACCACAAGCTTTTTTTTTTTTTTTTTTTTAATTCTAAGTTTTCTTATTGTTAAATTCATTAGAATGATTTCTGGTAAACCCCTTTTGGTTTCATGCCTTTGCCTGTGGACTTGAATCAGAGCCACATAACCGGTTCATTTGTGACACACCCTCCTCCTTGGCATCGGTGTTCAGTTTAGCAGCAACACATGGGCATTCCTCACTCTTTGTGGCTAATCAAGGACACACAGCTTGGTGCAATAAGCATCTTTGCAGTCTGGGGGTTTGGTGATAACCTTTATTGTCAGTGTGATCATGCTCGTGGCCATAGGAAGGGCTGAGTAATCAGCTAAAGGAGGTAGCTCTGTAGATCTGGCTTACTGCACTGTAATATCTCTTTTTGTGTTCTAGGGCTCCCTTTGCTTGGCACCTGCTGTTTGCTTTGACCAGGGGTGGCAGTGTGCCCCAAGCAGTGGCACTAAGCATGAATGCACTTTCTTAGATAAGCACTCTGGTAATGTGTGCATCATCACCTTCTAGTCTGTATCCTGAAAGCAACATTTAGATTTGAGACTTAACAAGCAAAAATCAATTGAACTTCTCAACACGCCCATTAAAAATACCCAACTCCAGGTCTTTCCAAAGAGGAAGACTGTGTATAAAGGAATTGTGCACCTCCATTAAACATTTGAAGACCAAAACTGCTTGGATACCTCTCCTCTGAGAATGTACAAAAGTTTTATGTAGAAGGCAAGAGGGAGGGAAATCCATACAGCAGGACAACTGTGATATAAAGAGTCACTCTCATAAATTAATTACGGTATTTACTTACTTCTTGACTGTTTTTTTTCTTTTTTGACAGATCCTCCCATTATTCTATGGGCAGTCGAGCTTTTTCCCATGACAGTATTTTCATACCTGATGGGAGAACAGAGAGTGAACAGGCCATTCAAGCAATGTCACAGGAGAACGTTTTAGGAAAAGTCAAAATTCTTCAGGTAAGAAATTGTATGTGGGAAAAATATTTAAAATTTGGTGGAAAATGGTCTCCAGAGCATATTAAATGTGCATAAAGATGAGTTGTTTTTCCAATAGCCTTGGGACAGTTTCTCAGCCAAGTTAAGTTCTCTGGTCAAAAGCCATGGCAAGTAATTCAGATAATCTGCAGAAGTTCCAGGTTTTGGTCTTGAAAGATACAGCAGTGATGGTGTAAACATATTTGCAGAAATGTCTGCACCTGTGGAATTCATCTGAATTGAACTCATGCTTTTGATGTGTCTTGGTCTGTATGCCTAAGTCCTACAAATATGATAATGAGAGAAAAAAAATGAAGGCTATGTTGAGGGCAGGGAATGGCATGCAGAGTGATATTTCTTTGCAAAGCCAATTTAATTATATGTTTATATGTATTGCAGGTTTTCCTCCTTTTTCTCACTGCACTTTCAACGGTGTTCATGGATGGTGGATTTGTTTATCTCTCGAAAGCATAAATGACACATTTGGCTATTTGCTTCTAAAGAGCTTTTTATGATCCTCTTTCCCTTCTTTTCCAGAACTCTCTCCCCTTAGCGCTTGAACTAATTTTTCACTTTACTCCCTGTATATCTGTAAGATTCCCAGCTTTATGTCTTTCTAGACCTTGAGAGAGCTGTCCTTCAGAAACACATTGCACTTTATTGCTCAGGATGCTGACATATCCTGTCAAAATGCTGATAAATTTTTAATGTTGTGCAAGTGCCGCTACCCTGAAGATGACTAGTAAAATACCATTGATTTCTTTTACCTCTGAAGTCTACCCACGATCCATCTTTTCTGGTGAGTGAGAGATCATGCACATTCAGACAGCTCCGACCTTCAGGATGGAATTGTCCCTGCCTCCTGCCTGGTGCTGTCAGCAGACAGAGCACCTGCATGGTACTAGCTGTGCTGACTGTGGATGAGCTCTGAAGCAGAAACCACACTAGGACATCTCCAATTCCTCTGTGCTGGTTTTTCAGCTTAAATTTCCCTGGGTCAGGTAGATTCAGTGCATGCTATTTTCCAGGCTGGAAACCATTATATTTAAAATGACTGCTGACTCTGGGTGAAGACCTGAGCTACGTGGACCTGACTTGCAATGTCCTACAAAGCCCACCGACTCTTTCAGGAAGCTGTACCCTCCCTGTCTGTTGGATTTGTTTCCTTGGCTTCCATGTATTAACTTTTCTCTGAGTAACTTTTCACTTCCAGAGGTGTTTTCACTCGTTTCAAAACTCAGCATAAAATTCCCAATGGAAATTGTTGCCTTTGCTAAACTAAGACACCTGAGAAAAAGTATAGTTAATGCATAACAACTGTGTTGACTAAGTAAATGCTGAATCAAGAAAATTAGAGCGAAATGTTACCCTGGAAAATCATGAAATAGCCAGTGGTACTCTCTTGCTTATGTGAACTTTGCATAAGCCTTTTTTTAACGCGGTTAATTGCATGTATTTTAAGGGATAATATTGTTTCAGCTGCTTGATGTAAAAAATGTACTTGCCTTTTTATTTGAAATTGAAGGATGGTAGTTCATTTTTGTCATTTTAGTGTAGCTGGAACCTAGCCTGTAACATAGCAGATTCATTTTTCAACTCTGATGATGATGGTGAGAGCCACTTATTCATTCAGAAAAAAAATGCATAATAGATTCCAAGTTACACTTTTAAGTACTTACATGTTTACACAGAAGTTATACATTCATCTAAATGTCCATGAATTTTTTTTGTAAACCCATGGAAATCTTCCCTATAATAAGCCCAGGGGCCACATTTGTGTCTTCAAAAATTGCTGCCCACCATGTAACTTTTCCCATTTCTGTAGCTATGATTTCTGCAACTGTTCCCTGAGTTTAAAGACAAAGTCATGCTAAAATCCCATTGCACGTTTTAAATTTACCTTAGACTTGAGTCCCAGGTCTGATGAGTTATTTGGACAATCATTCCTGTTTGAAGGTTTCATGCACTCCATACCCCATCCTTTTTTTCCTGCTATTCTATGAGCCAGTGTTTGCTGTGTGATTTTGCAGCCACAGCAAATGTTGATACTCTATCTTCTGATACCAGAAGCTTCTGTCTACTTTGGAATCTCTTTCTGAAAGCTAACTCCAACTGGGAACATCTGTATTTCTTAAAGTGGTGGGTTAAGAAGAGACAGTCCTCTCTTCTGAAGGGCATTCTGCTCCTTAAAGGCAATTCTGTGGCCAGCCCCAAGTCCCAGGTCATTGCTGTGCCACCAGCACTATGGTGGTTTTGCCAGGATTGTATGTCAGGGTGGAAGCACAGCACCCCCAGTTTCCATTTACCTGGCAAGGTACCCCTCAGTAAAGAGCTGTTGCCCGGATTCCATGCTCCCCTGCTGACTCTAAACTTGCTGCATCCCAAGTGGAGATAAAAAGCTCTTAACCCTTTTCAGGATTTTTTTGGAGGTGGTACAGTAAATGTTCCTGGAAAACTTAAATCGTTCTTTTGGAAAAGTCCCTGTGCTTGCAAACCTAAGAGACAGCACGGGGAAAAGGGTTTTGAAGTCAGAATAGGAAGGCAAGCCATTTGATACTGATGGTGCTGGATCTCATTCTGTGGGCCACCAAAGTGTTTCTCCCTTCTTGCCTTGCATTTCTGCTGACTTTAGAGTGTTGATGAACCCACAAAAATTGTTGTGTAATGGTGCAAACTCCATAGTATTCCGGGCAGCTGGCCAGCCTGTGCACTGGTTCAGCTGCTTATTGTGGGAATTCTCTCTTTCTAATTACGCGTGAAAGGCAAATTTGTTCTTTCTGGAATTTCTCTCTTTTGGTTTTATTGATTTTCAAATTGGCAGTATTCATCTTATCATGCCTTCTGTAAATGAATCTGGTCATGTTCAAAGGTTTTACTGTGTGCTAGAAGTCAGGCTGAGAAAAGCCTGACCTCTCATAAACCTTCAGTAGCCCTTTACTATCCTGAAGTTATTTTTTGTTGGTTCAAGCCATCTGCTGTTGTAAAAGCAGTCTTTTCCTTGTCCTTTGGAACTGCTGAGATTTATCATTACCTAATTTTTAAGATCCAGTGTAGTAAGCCAGCCTGAACCTGCTCCCACATAGGCACTAGTTCTCTTAATGTTGAACTCTCTTAGTTTCTGGGGATCTTGCTTTAGTTGTCATACAGGGCTGTGAATGAGACACAAGGAATGTTTAAAAAGTAAATCTAGCAGCATGTCAGAAAAAAACCCACAACCCAACCCTTGGAGCTTCATTCTACATCCTTTCTCCCATCAAAGTGTCTTAGAACTGTATTATGACATTTTTTAGCTTCTCTCTCTCTCTGATATTTGCCAGAGACGGTCAGCAAATGAACAGAAGAGAGTTTTTATTTCAGACTCATAAAAACTGCAGCAAGCAAAATGGAAGCTTGTTTAAAACACTGGTTTTCTGAAGCATCTACACTATTCTCTCCCACTTGCTGTGACGATGCCATGGTGTGGCACTGCTGCTGCCTTTGTTCTCCACTGCTCACCTTCACTGAAATTATCTTGGGTCATCTGACATCTATCTGTGAGGCTGCAGCAGTCAGCTGCAAGAAATATTAAAGATTGACTGTGACATATGGCCTCTAGGAAGTACAGGATTACATCTTTTTTGTTTCATGTGGCAATGTAGTTTAAAACAAACTCTCTGCTCTGTAAAACTATAAAGCATCTATTTATTGTACAGATATTACTTACAATAAAACATTTTTTGTGAATCCAAATTTCTCAGACAAATGCAGAAGAACCCCTTTTTAAATTTTTTTTAAAATTTGTATTTCCTTGATTTTGCAATGATGAATGACCCTTATAATTTTCTTCTTGTCAGACCTTGTGCCTGCTAAATTTTGGATTACATTTCTTTTAGTCATTAGCATATCTTAGCTAATGACTAAGCCAGTGCTTCCCTCACTGTGCACTGCACATCTGTATTCTACCAGCTACTCTCAATGTATCTTCTGTTTCTTATTGCCCAGATCTCAACAAAGCTACCAAGCCATTTTTCAAACCTCAAAGCTATTATCTTTTACCATGATACTCTGAATTTCTCAGAATTGGGAGTGAATTTTGACTTCATGATTGCCTAGCTTTGTATTTCTTACAGTTAATTTCTTTGTTGCCAATATTTTCTAGTGCCACAGCAGCCTAAATGCTTTCCTCATATTTCAAAATTCTTTTTGCTTTATAAACTGAATTTATCATTTTTTTTCTAAATCATTCTAGCATTTCTTGGGCAGACCTTCTTTTTCCTATGATCATAGTAATCCCTGAAAATGAGCTTTCTTTCCAGGGAAGGAAAATTTTCCTTCTTTGCATCTGCTTTGCTTTAGGAGAGACTGATGTGACAAATGCCACAGATGCAGTATCTTCAAGCCTCTCCACAAAATCTTTTTACACATGAGCATGTGTAAGTGATCTGTCACCACTGTACACCAAAATCTCCATCTGTGTCTGGATTTGTTGCAGATACGCACCTCTAGAAGTCCATTTACAGTTTGCTCCTTCACCATTCTTCTATTTTGGACTCTCCCCACAAGTGTAATGTCTTCAAATGTAATGCCCCTAACCACATACTGCTCCAGCAATGGAGAGTGGAATAGTTTTCTCCCTGAATCTTGTATCCAAAACATCTGTGCTAATACTTGTTGTTTTCCTAGTTTTCTATGGGTTTCCATATTAATTTTATACCTGGATTATTTTCTAAAGCTATACCAATATAACTTTTCACATTACACTTTCCAGTTTATTCTGTCCTTTATTAAAAAAAAAAAAGCTTATGTGGGGTATTTAATTTGTTTAGATATGCTGCAGATTTTCCAGTTTTGATTAAGAAGTGGACTCACTTCCATAGTTCACCATGAATTAGGTGAACTCTCTTCTGAGCCTAGAAGAGAAATTATAAGAGACAATTTGATATAGATGCCTGAAATAATGAGTGGAATTGATGAAACAAATATAGTACAATTCAGTCTTTCACAGCCTGAGAACACATGAACAACAGTTGAAATTAGTAACACTTCCAAATCAAAAGAGATATTTATTTAAGCAAAGCTGGACTGTATAAAAATTCCTCAGATGTCACAAATCATTGGAGCATTTGCAAGCTCAAGTATGGGCTCACCCTGTGCTTATGTATTCACAAGGCGTTTGATTTTGGGTCATTCTGAGAGACTGTACAGGACCAAGTGGAATTTCAACAGTGTGCCTCTTTTTGGGACAAGTATTAATTAAGTCATTATTTTTCATTTATATATAACTAGAAAATTTAATTTCAATCAAGCTTTGTTATGTTTAGGCATTGGAAACAGACATGAAGAGTAGATATTTGAGTTGAAGGGAAGCTATGACCAGCATTTCTTGGAAGCCTTGTTTGAATGGAATCAGCTGAAACAGTACACTCTGTTTTAATGTTTTTTTACTGAAGCAGCTCAGCGGATCCAGTTTTGGATTCACTCCAGGCATGAAGCCCTAAGAATGATGTAGTTTCAGGGGCCTGAATCCAACACACATGCAAGCAGGCATGAACACAGAATAGAAGCCAAACGAGAGTGAGAGAGGAGATGTACAGCCTCATCTGGGCTCTTTGCCAATTAATATGGAAAACTTGTTCTGTGGCATTTCCTATGCAAATGAAAAGACTGCTTTGAAAGTCTGGGCTTTTTTTATTAGCTGCAGGTGCCAGACAACGCAGAACAATTTTTCTTAGGAGCTTGATGCCTTAAGTTATTAATGGGATGCTGGTGTCAGTTAAAGAGTATCACATTTTAGCAATTATTTTGCATGAAATAGAAGTGGGCCTGTCCAGTTACCAAGGAAGATTTTAAAAATTAGATGAGCGCAAACTCAACTTTTTTTTTGCTAAATTCCCAGTATTTATTTTTGTATTAGATGTGCAGACCTGCCCCTTACCTCACTGTCACATTGACAGCCACCCAGGTTGTGTGTGAACGGAAGAACTATCAGGAATCTTACAGAAACCTCATGAATCTTACAGAAAAAAAAAAAATGTGGATGATATAAACCTGGTCTGGATCTCGTCCTAAAGCTCCCCTGTGTGTGGTGTCTCCAGAGATTTCAGAGCAAGATGGTGGTTTCTGGCTGCTAAATTACAAATCTTGAACAAACCAAAGGAGACCAAGGTCCTTTGACTGAGCCCAATATGCGTCTGTGGAGATTTTCAAAAGGCTATTTAGACATGACTGTGCAATGGCAGAAGAACAAAATGCCATGCCTGCAATTTCTAATGACTGGCATTGCAAATAATCCTCCTTAGACAACAATCATCACAAACTGTCAGCACAGGGAATTCTTAACTACAGAGGATTTATAGTTATGTGTTCAGAAATATGTATCTAACTGAAACTTTTGAGAAATTTAAAGCAGATGCTCCTTTTCAGGGATTATGGTATCTTTTCAAAGGTCTTGCATCTTAAACTGATGTATCTCTCCATGTATCTCTAGCCAGATGTATCTCCGGGCTAGACTGAGTGTTCTTCCACGTAAAATTTGTGGGGTTTTTATTTTCTTTCATGGATGATGCATTTTTAGAATTTTTATGATTGACCAGGTAGAAAATGCATCGGTGTGGAATTTTTCTGAGAGGGTAATTGCATTGTAGTTACATTATAAGTACATTCTAAAAAAAAGACCAAGAAGTAGGTTTAGCATTAATCCTTAAAGGCAATAAGAATAAATTTGCTCAGTAGTTACAATGAGCTATTTGAGATTTTGGAATTTGGTCATTTGGTATTTAGTGTCAGCTTCAGAGAATAGAATGCACCTAAAGAAACTGGCCAGTGGAGACCTACTAGTGGAGCTTTTTGTTTTTTAAGATAAATCTGGTCAAAAAAGGCCAATAAAGAAATAATACAGAAAAGCACCTTCTGTTCTGGAAGGGTGAGGGTTACTAGAGCTTATTCCTCAATCTTCAAACTAATTTATGCCAGTCTGAGCAAACATACTTTTAAAGCTCTGAAACAATCTAAAAAACCCCCAAACCAAAAAACAGTCATGACTGTGTACAGTCTGTAAATATTGAGGATAGTATATTTCTTGGAAATATCAGGAAAATAACATTTTAAGCTTTTATATACAGAAAAACACATGGTTACTGTAGATCCTCTATTACCTTGATGGTAGTAAAAAGGCCATTCTTTTTCAAGCATAGACTTTCCATACAGCAGCTCCATCACTGAGCTCCCACCTCGCACTGCACGCACATTTACATCAAGAACTTGCCAACAGATCAAAAGGGTAACACACCATCCCTTCCTCCAAAAGACACTGCAAGCAATATGTTAATGTATGCATGTTCTCACCATGGAAAAGATGCACAGACCCTTAGTTTCCTAGGTGTTGCTCAGTAATGCTGATAGTTCCAGTTTTCTGCCCCAGAGAGTTAATTCTCTCGGAACATGACTTTAGGAAGAAGAAAAGAGCAATCTCAACTTAGAAAACACATTTCTCAGATTAAGACTTTTTTCTGGAATACTTTTATTCTGGCATCAAAAGGCCTGCAGGAGTAGGGCAGAATTTAAGGCCTCACACAATCTCACACAGACCATTTTGCCCACACCAGCTCCCATGTACACTATATAAGCATGTGAGTTTTCAAGTCAGAGAGTTGCACTGTTAACATAAAAGCCTGCAAGGACTTGGTGAAACCCTTGCATTTAGACTATGCCAGTAATCCAGGTGGGAATAAAAATTTGCCATTCAGAACTACCCACTACACCAGAATGCTTTACGATATGAATTTCACCACTCTCTGTCAGAATTCAAATGGGCATCAATAACTAACTCTAAGTCAGTGAGGAGACTGAGAAGAGCTGTTCTAGTTTAATAACCTGATTATGAGGAGTTTCTGCATGCAATTTTCATTTTAATGGTTCAATACAGAAATCTGTTAATGTTTTTGGGATAATATGGATAAACTTGATGCAAGAGTCTAGACCACTAGGAACTATGGCAAGAAAGACTAATCTGACCTGAACTCCTTTAGAACATAACTTTCCTTAACAATTCCTCAAGTGTGCTCCATGTTACTGATTCTATGCTATAGGGGGGAAGAAAATCTTTGTTTTACCTACTGTCTACTCCAATCTTCCACAGCTCTCAGCAGCAAACTTATGTCAGGGTACTGTGTAAGTATTCCACTGAATAGAAGCAGCACAGTTGAATTACTTGTTCATTGTATCACAAGTCAAAAATGGAGAATCCTCTTTGGAGAATTTTCTGTCCTTGAAAAAACAGCAAAGCAGGAAAACAACTCCACAGTCCCTTGCTTCCTAATTGAGAATGATTCCCTGAAATATTTCAGGAAAAGAATATATTCATAAATGTTCCCTGCTGGACTTGCTCCTTCTAGAGAATGTCTTCTCTCTTGCAAAAGTTCAAAGTCTGTATGGCACATGTCTCTTGCAGCAGCCAGGACTGCAATTTCTGACTCACCTTGCTAGAGGACACATAGCGTATGCTTCTTATTTTATTCATCTTAATGCTTGATGTAATTCAAGAGCACTTCCTTGTAACCTTTGAGAGAAGATTGCTTCAACATGGAAAATAAATGGTGGGAAAGTTTTTTATCCATTCATCTCCCATGTCCCCTGCCTAAATTTCTTTGTGCAACAGCAGTGACTGGCAGTGCTCATGAGCATGAGCAGACATGAGTTTGTCTATTCTTCCTATGAGATCAAGCATTTAAAAGAGCTGGGTTTCCCCTGCTTTGAGAATTTGCCTCTCTAAGGCAGGGCTGTGCCAAACCCTTAACATTATAAACTTATGATTAAACATTACAAAAAGGATACCTTTTAGAAATACAGATTAATGAGATGAAGGGTTTGGGGGCTAGAAAAGAAAAAGGTTGCCTTTTGGGGTAGTTTTAGTTTCTCAGTGTACACTTTTCTCATAAGCTTATTTCTTCACAACAATAAGGCTTCATAATTAGTTTTTATAAACAAAGTCTTAACCTAGAACACAGATTTTAAAAAGAAATTGAGTGTTTCAAAACTCATAGTAAATTTTCAAAAGTTAGCAACACTGTCAAGAGCTCAAATTGATCATACAAAATCAGAAATCGTGTAGTAAATTCCTCACCTTAGTCACCTTGTGAGGGAAAAGAAAAGAGGGTGCCCATCATATTGCAGCCTCAGGACTTTTTTATTTTTTTTTGTCCAGAGTCAGAAGCTGCCCAGAATATTTCTGTGCAGCTTTCAGGCAGAGAAGGGGCACTTGCTGGACTTGGCTTGTTTCACTTGTAATATATATCGCTGTTTTGTTTATTTTATTTTTCTTGTTTTTCAGCAACAGTTGGCCAAAAATATAAAATTTGGGCAGCCTCCACAAATGACAGTTTCTGCGAGGACAATGGGGGAAGCAAACACCAGTACAGAAGAGGATGCGTTGCTCAGCAGCCCCGTGGAGATGGAGACCCAGCAGGACACGGTGATCTCAGACTGCGGTAATAAAGTAAGCACTTTAAATTGACATGTCCATGGCACTAGAGCAGTACTAAAGCAGCAAAGTTCACTGAGGTGTAGCAGATGTTTCCAGTGAGGCGTAGCAGAGCTCAGTGGGCTGTTTTATGTGGGAGGGAGCTCTCAGCTTGTGCTTCTTGGCCTGGTGGGAAGCATGCTCTTGGCATCCTGAGCCAGGTCACACAGAATTACTGGTTTGAGTGTTTGCTCTGAGGTTCCAGCAGTGCAGACATTACTTCCAGTGTTGCTAGAACACAGGAAATTTTTCTAATACAGAAAAATATTTTAAAATACAGACTTCCCAGCAAGGAAAGCTGTTCACAACATCAAATACCAAAAAGGAAAATCATTTCAAAATGAGAGGTGTGTGAAGCCTAAATCCTGGGTCTTAGAGTAAGTATGCATATTTCTCATGGACAGAAACCAAAGATGAAGAAGGGGGAGAAGCACTTTGAATGCTCCCTAAAATAAAATTTCCAGTATAATTCAAATAATTTTTCAAATTATTCATAGAGACTTTGATGCTGTGGGCATTTAGGCATCCAGAAAGGTGTTGTTCAGACTGTGAAGAAACATGGTGAGTGAGGAAAGGTCTCTGGAAATCCTCTAAGGCAAGACTGGTTCAGTGTGTTGCTGTAATGGCAGAAAGGAGTACAGTGACAACCTTTCATGCCTGGAGGAGGCTGACTCTGCCTGGAACCCTTGGGGAAGGTATCCAGCAAGCCAGTATGTACACACAGCCCTTAGGATCCTGGGACACGGGGGCAGGAGCCTCTGCTCTAACTAACACTAGCTCTGCCTGTGTGAAATGCAGAGGCACCAAGGGTCCTGTGCAATTCATGCCTGTGTTCAGACAAACACTCAGAAGGGAGGTTTATGCCTGAGCTGACCCAAATTCTTCATCAGTCTTTAAGGGACAACATAGCTCCTCTGTGACCACTTCTTTCATGGCTGTGGCTCAATCTGCCAGGGAGCCAGGCATTTGGGTAGGACCTGCACACTCACACTCTCCCTTAGCAGTCTGGAAAGATAAAAATTAAACCAAATTAAGGTATATTTTTTTGCCTAACAAGTACTCTTTCTGGTGCAATCAGGTAAGGTAAATCAAGAGCATCCTGTGTGCCTCAGAGCACAAAGTGTGCAGTGGGACTGTGGACAGGTTTTGGCAATGCACTGTCTACCCTGGTGCTAGGTGAGTCTGTGTTTGAGATAAACATAGATTCTCTGCAGACACCCTTCTTCTTGGGTCGTGCAGGAGACCCTAATGTCACCTAGAGACTTCCAGCTCAAAGGATACAACAGTTCAAGCACTAATAATCTGCAAGAGTAATTTTATATATCATGAAGGGAGAAATTCAGTTCTTACCACCTACTCTTTAAAATATTACGTTTTGAAAACAAAATGCACACCCCTTGCATAATTCTTTTTCCAAACACTGAAGGAGCAACCATTCCTTCTCAGAAGCAGTAGACACAAACAACCCAATTTTACATGGATAGTGTCGGCCAGAGCACTCGGTACTTTCCTTTGGTTTCTGCACACTACTACTTACCTGTGTTATCAGAGATTTCTGGTAGCTTCTCTGGTTTCTGCTCTTGTCTCGTCTGCTGGCCTTCTAAGTCTATCTGCATAGGGCTTGGGGGTGGGGTGGCTTCTATAAAAAACTGGTGGCCAGGACCACATGGATCTGCTTTACTTTGAACAGATTTCTTGTGATGCTTTGTGACTTCCGATTTTCCCGACTGAGTGACTTGGGTTGGTGGCAAGAGTTCTGGGTTTAATTTAACCAGTAGTTGTGAAGCTGAGCTTTTAGCCTTGATATTAACAATCATGTGGTGTAATGGGATTCCAACACACATTAGGTTACTAAGTAATACTGTGACAGAATGATTAAAACCAATGTTTCTGGGTGTGATGAATGCTGCTTCAAGCCCTGTGCCTTGAAAATTCCTCTCCATGATGGCTTGGAGGGGGACAGTAGCTAAAGAGTCACAGCTTTCCTAGCTTCCATCACTCTGGGGGACTGTTAGCTCTGTAAAAGGAGTTATCAGGAACATAGAGTTGAAGCTCCTTGCAGCAGAAGTAATGCCTGAACAGGTTAGTATCTTTTTTCTTTATGCGTAAGTCGGGAGAAAATAAAATCATTGAGACCTGATCAAAATCCTACAAAGCTGTGCTCTTTCTTTTGTTTTGGCTCCTGATTATCTTGTTAAGGAAACCTGAATGTTTTGCCTTTTGCAGTGCTGTGCACACAGTAGTGTTTCAAGGAGCAGTGAATACAAGCTGAGAGCTTGTAGGAATAAGAATTGCTTATCCATCAGTCCTGAAGTGATAGAAAAGAAGGAAAAATCTTATCCTAACATACATGATTTCACAAGTCCTTTGAATCATATTTACTAGATCCTTTACATTTTAATACTTGTCTGTGGTAATCTTTTCTAGTCCACTGACACTCCAGATTTCTTGAGAAAAATGAATTTTCTTGGAACAGGACATGAAATGGAAGAAAAGGTAAAAATACTTTTACATTTGGTTTGCTCTGAGTTACATTCTAATTTTAGATATTAGAAGCCTGACAGTTTTTCTTTTCTTTGTTTCATTGTTTGATTGATCATAACATTTTGTGAATGCTGTACAGTTTTGGAGCTAGTAAATAAGCAATAACTAACATTGAGAAATCTTAAAAGCTGGTTGCAGGAAACAGCAGAACCTAGTTTCTGCCAGTCTTGCAGCATTCCTCTATTTGATGTATTAATCACACAGTCATAATTTTCATAAGTACTTCTACTACTTTGTTATGCCTGCATGTAATTCAATAAGCATATGCAAAATGTTCCCTCAGCTTTTAAGTAATTGGTTCCTTGATTAGCATATGTCTAACCTCAGAAGATTACAGAGCTGTCTTGAAAACAATGTATGTGATTTCTTTCCTCACAGAAGATGCTTTCTCTTTTTTTTTTTTTCCCTCTGTCTTCTTTTTCCATTTGTGCTATGCCAAATGCAAGTCTTGGGATGATAGCTTGATGACTTACAGAAGAGACAGACAACAGGCTCAGTCTTACATGCCCAGACATACAGTTCCACTATTTATCCACAAAAAGAGCCTCACTGAATCACTTTGCTTATATTTACACTTTCTGAACCCAATTATTTGAAGGGCACGAGAAATAAAGCACCCATCAAAGCCAGTGTTGCCTTTAGTTTTTTGCTGTTCGGCTCTGTCTTGGATAATTCCACATGACTCTGGAGGGAAGGTTTTCCACAGGCACTGTGCCAGTCTGAGATCCAGTGCTGCAGTCATCTCCCATGCAGCGAGTACAGCTCTGTAGCTGTTCTATTATGATTCTTAGATAAGTCAATCTGATTTGCTTCTGCCTGAAGTGCATAATCTAAATTATTTAAAGATGTAGATATTTTTTCACAGTAAGCAAACTTTAAAATATCTCAGTGTTTGATGTTGTTTAAAACCCTGCCTGTGCTTTCCCATTCCCAACAAGTTCAGATTGAGCTAAACTGTGAAAAAACTTCAATAGAATGGTCTAAGTAATTTTTATGTGAAAACAATAAAAGTGTGTTGTACTGAAAATGGGAAAATATTAGAGCTGTAACTTTCATGTCCAAAGTTTGGGATTTGTGTAATGGAAAGCCAGGGTTTCAAATCTTTTCTGCTAATAATTCCTTTAAATTAAAACCTGCAAAGATGTGTGTGTGTGTGTGTGTGTAATTTATTTATTTATGTATTTATTTATTAATGGAACAAATAGGTTAATAATGGTTTCTTGTCTTTGTGATACAAACAGATCACTCCAGTTAAATCAGCTCGGCCAAAAAGACAGTTTTCCTGTTCTGGCACAATTGAAACAATCAATTTGGATTCAGTTCCCCAGGCTCTTGCTCGTCTAGACAACAGTGCAGCTAAGCACAAGCTGTCAGTGAAGCCAAAAAAGCAGAGGATGTCAAGACAGCACAAGAGATTGACAAAGGTATTAAATAACTGGCCAAACAGCAAGAGGAGGGCAATTACTTTTGAGACTGGGCCCAAAATAACCATAATTGAGTGTATTAGGATCTATAGACAGAGGATTTGAGATCTGATTAACATTGTTATTTATCTGAAACCCTAGCTGGAGAGAAGATGCAAAGAAGTTTTAATATTGGCAGTTGTGACAAATACTACTTAAATCTGAAGTACTTCCACTACAATTTTACATTTCTGATTCTAGTTTTTCTAGTGAAAACTTAAGGTCATAAAGGCCTGAAGATATGTGCTCCTGTTAATACTGCTCTGATATAGGCAATCAGGTGGTGCAAAATATGGTTGGGAAAAAATCAGATTCTCTAAATTGGGCATGGGTTCTGACAGGTATAATATCTTTACCTTGTAAGAGGGAATAAGACTTAAGTAATGTAGCTCTTGCAACAGCTATAAAGAGAAATATAAAACTGTAGCTTTGTACACTTACTGCACATATGTTTTGGTTTTTATCCTGACATCTTATTAGTTCTTGTGAATGGGACAAGACTATTCAACTACACAGGGCTCAGGAGAGGCCACTTTGCTTTCTTCTGTACCACTGTACTTGCATTTATCACTCTTGCAATGAAGAAATTTAATTTAAACCTCTTGTTTGTACAATGGTTAACTGGAGCCAAATGATGGCTCAGCAAATGATAGCTAGACAGAACATGAGCTGAGCTGTTTTCTTAGAGAAGCACTCTTCAGGTACAGAACAGAGCTCCTGGGAAGCTCTAACTGTGCTGTCCATACATGTTCCCACGGTTCCTACAATAGTACTGGAGTCTCGGCACAGCTAATGAGGAAGATATCCTGGCTCAGGATTTGTGAAAAAACAAATTGTATTTCCCTGAGGAATGTTCTTTCCTGGCTAGCATTGCAGAGCTTTTTTTCTGCAGGCAACAGCTCTGTCTCTGCAAGTACCAGATTTGCCATGAAAGAACTGGCAAAACAATGCCCCAAAGCAGGCATTAATTATTTCAGGTTTAAAGGATGGAGTGGTAGAAGGAGAATGGGCATATGAAACTTACGCTCTGTTCCTTGGGCTTCTGCAAATTTGAAATGGCAGGTCTCAATGTACAACAAATGGTGATTAAGTATTTGGCATTGTACTGCTATCACTCTTGGGATGTTTTCTTTCTTTTAAAGACTATCATCTGAATAGGTGAGAGACATGGGATCTATGATGATGTAATCCATAGATTGGGGTGGGGAGTGTTGGCTCATCTAAATCACTGTTTAAATTTTTTTTTTTTTTTGCATTTGCAACTCTTTATTCACTATAAAGGATAACAAGCCAACAGGCAATGTTCAGTAACCCCAAACTTGTCTCCAATTTTAGGGATCACAAAGTTTAACTATAACAGAATTTGAGCCAGAGGACCTAGAAACTCAGCTGTATGAGGACATATACCCAAGTTATAATGGACGCTTCACAGCAGGCAAACTAATCCAGGACAGAGATGAGCAGAAGCTGGCAGAGGAAAAAAGAATTGAAGATCACTGGGGTATCCTTGAAGCTGAAAGGATAAGACAGATTGTAGAAATGGAAGAACAAAGAGAAATGGAAGAAAAAAGGTGCCAAGAACTTGAGGAGATGTGGAAAGAACAGGAAAAGAGACGTTGTGAAGAAGAGAGGAAGCAATACCTCCTTGAAGAAGAAACATCTTTGAAAATAGAAGAGAAAACATGCCATAAAGAGGAAAGAAGACTGATGAAGGCTGAAAAAAGGCAAGAGCTGGAGGAGCAGATGCAGAAGGAGTTGGAGGAACAACAAAGACAAGATCTGGAGGAGAAGAGGCGCTGGGAAGTGAAGGAACCACAGAGACAAGAGCTGGAGGTGCAGAAGCTCAAGGAACAGGAGCAACAACAGAGACGGGAGTTGGAGGAGAAGAAGCTCAAGGAACAAGAGGAACAACAGAGACAAGAGTTGGAGGAGAAGAAGCTCAAGGAACAGGAGGAACAACAGAGACGAGAGCTGGAGGTGCAGAAGCTCAAGGAACGAGAGGAACAACAGAAACGAGAGTCAGAGGAGCAGAAGCTCAAGGAACAGGAGGAACAACAGAGACAAGAGCTGGAGATGCAGAAGCTCAAGGAACGAGAGGAACAACCGAGACAAGAGCTGGAGGTACAAAAGTTCAAGGAACAAGAAGAGCAACAGAGACAAGAGCTGGATGAGCAGTGGCAGCAGCAAGGGGAGGAGCAGCAGAGACTAAAGCAGGAGGAAGAGAAGCACCAGGAACTGGAAGAGCAACAGAGACAAGAGCTGGAGGAGCAAAAGCACCAGGAACAGAAAGAGCAGAGACATCAGGAATTGGAGGAGGAGAAGTGTCAGGAATGGGAAGAGCAGAAGCACAAGGATCTGGAGGAGAAACAGAGACGAGAGCTGGAGGAGCAGAAGAGGCTAGCACTGGAAGAATTAAGGCAACATAGGTCTGAAAAAGACAGTCAAAAGGAAGAAGAAAGAAACTGGCTGGAGGAACAAAAAGAGCTCAAGAAACAAAATAAGGAAGAAATACAGCAACAAGAACTAGAAGAGAAAGAGCTTGAAGAAGTTGAAATAAAACTGAAGCAGGAGAAAGAACCTGAGAGCCTCAAACAAGAGAAGAAACAGGAGGAACAAAGACAGCATCTGAAGGAGAAAGAAAAGACAGAGAAGGGACAACCCCAGCAAGTGACGGATAAGAAAAAGAAACGGGAAGAGCAGAGGAAACACAAACTCACAAAACAAATGCACATGGAAAGTTCAGACTTCGTTCTACAAGATGAACTGAAGCTGCAAAAGGAACCAAATGGACATGAATGGAATAAGCTGAAAGAGCAGAATGTAGACACAGAAGGACCAAATCTTCATCCAAAACAAGAAAAATCCTTGGAACAGCCACAAGAAAAAGATCAGTTGTGTTCTGCTGGAGGGGCTGATATGCATCCAGCAGAGGAGAAGCTCCAAGAAGGATCAAGTTCCCAAAAAATTAAACAGCCAGAAAAAGGGACTAAAACTGCAGAAGAAATACTAGCCCAGAAACTGAAGAGAGAAGTTGAGGCTCAGGAACAAAAACGCATAGGGGAAGAACTTCGGTGGCAAGAGGTAGATGAAAGGCAAACAACATCCAGACCCTTCACATTTCAAGTGTCTTCTGGAGATAAACAGATTATATTTCAGAAAGTAAATCTGAGTCCTGTTATGCCCATCAAAGGAACAGGACTCTCTTCTCCATCTGTCAAAGACTGCAGGGTGCACACTACCAGTAAGGGCTCTCATTCCCTCCCATCATCTGTGTGTGTACCCCACACAGCTATTTTGGTTACTGGAGCACAGCTGTGTGGCACAGCAGTGAACTTGAACCAGATTAAGGACACAGCTTGCAAATCATTACTTGGCTTAACAGAAGAGAGGAAGAATGTGGATATTCCCTCTCCAGAGAAGTCTGAGAGAAAAAAACAGGATCCCAAACCCAGCAGCAGTAAAATGAAACATGCACAAGAGGCTTTGAACAACCAGGCAGTAATGGCTGAGTGGGCCTCTATCCGCTCCAGAATCCTAAAGAATGCAGAAAACAACAAATACAATGAGAGAGACCGAGTAGCTGTCTGCAGGCACAGTGATGACTGGACACCCCGAGGACGTGGTGCTCCCCATGGCAACTTGAGGAAAACCCTCTCTGCAAATGCAAAGTTCTCAATAACACCAGCATGGCAGAAATTTTCAGATGTTTCAAAAACCAATTCAGATGCTGAGAATGTAAATGTGTCAAAAGGCAATGAAACAGTGGCTGTGGGGAGAACCACTGGCTCATCTGCTGATTCAAAGGAGGATGTGGTTTCCACTTTTAAGGATAACTTAGCTGAAAAGCCTAAGGAGAAAATGGAAACCCATAGGGAAGTGACAGACAACACTGAAGGCTGTAAATTTGCGAAAGATCTTCCATCATTCCTTGTTCCAAGTTTTCCACATTCTATGGGGAAGGATTCACCCCAGCCAGAACTTCCCAATTCTCTAGAACATCAGCAGAATAACAGCACAAAAAAAGCAGATAAACCACCACCAAACGGAGAAGAAAATGTTTCTCCCTTTGGGATAAAGTTACGAAGGACAAACTACTCTTTACGTTTTCATTATGACCAACAGGCAGAGCAAAAGAAAAAGAAAAGATACAGTGCAGGAGACAGTTTTGATGGTGTGCCTGACCCACTCACCTCTACAGAAGGTGAGAAAGAATCCTCTGTTTTCACTCCACAAGAAAGTACCTCTCCTGGCACTGGGAGAGCAAACATCCCTGGTAATTTAAAAGACTCTTCAGTTACTGTGGTGTTTTCACCACCTGTGGGCACACCAGTGGTCCCACCAGCCACCGGCCAGAGTGCTCTACCTGCTCAGGAGAAACCAGCATGCAAGTCACTGGTCCCACAGAAACCCGCTTTAGCTCCAAAGCCCACCAGCCAGACCCCACCATCATCTCCTCTCTCTAAAATGAACAGATCAAACCTATCTGAAATGCTGGGGCAAAGGGTGTCTAAAGCTGAATCAGATGGTGGATGGAGAAAAGAAGACAGAGTAAATGCAGCCCAACCCATACCATCCAATGACTACAAAAATGAAGAGGAAGAAGTCAAAGAAAAGAAGTCATTTTTCCCATCTCTAAGCATTCCATGGAGAGAAAAAAATGACAAAAAGCCTGAGCCATTGAAGAAAGGTATGTATCTTTCCAAGCAAATTTAGCAATTGTCTGCATTTCCGAAATGAGGTCCAGAGGAAGATATTTGATCTTAAGCTATAATTTTTACCTGGCATGTTACTTGTGGAGGACTGTTACTGTGCTTAGGGCTGAAGGAGTGTGACTTCCCATAATTTAATTCAGAAGCCCATGAATTCAGTGTGACCAGCGCAACCTACTTAAGAAAGTTAATTTCAAAATGGTAACAGAAGTGTCTGTGTGTTTTTCCTTGACAGAGATGTTACCTCTGCCTCTAGTGGGCCAAGTGATGGACTCTGTGGTCCATGGATAATGGTGTTATCAGAGATGATAGTGTAATTTTTAAAATCTACATTCTGTTGCTCCTCTTTTTAAAGAAATGTTATTTAGCTTAAAAAAATATTAAAATCTAGTTCCCCTTATCCTGTACAAATTCTTTATTTAAGCAATACAGCTGGGCACAGCAGTCTGTGTTTCAGAGGCGGTCTTCAGTGATGAAAAAAATTAGAGTAGCCACAATGTCTCTTCAGAGGAGAGTTGAAAGCCCCTGTGCCCTGAAATGGTATCCTGGACAAGAGGGAAAATTACCCTTTCAGGGTAAGGACACTCAAAAGACCGAGGCAGGAATTCACCATTTCACTGGGAAACCACATTTTTTTCAGTCTTGGATTTTTCAAACATCAGAACACTTCTGAAACTATCTCAGTGGAACTTCTGATTTTTTATTTCTTTTTTTCACACACATTAAAAAAAAAAAGGATAAATTCGGACAGCTGGGTGAGTGTGTTGAATTAGGTCTTATTCCTGAGGCATAAAATCTGTTTCAGGATTTGTCATGCAGTCCACAAAGGTCTGTGACTGACATGGCATTCAATGGGCTTAGCTACAGCATTTTCACAAGGTAGACAAGTTGCAGGGGATTTTTCAAGACAAGAGATGTGCATTACTCAATCAATTCTTGTCATGTTTTCTTTCAGAAAAGCCTGTCCTTCAGAGCAGACACTCTTTAGATGGCTCTAAATTGTTGGAAAAAGTGGAAACTTCACAACCACTTTGGATTACATTAGCACTGCAAAAGCAAAAGGGATTTCGTGAGCAGCAAGCTACGAGGGAAGAGAGAAGACAAGCCAGAGAGGCAAAGCAAGCAGAAAAACTGGCCAAAGAAAATGTAAGCAATCTTTAGAAACCTGCCCATTAGAAATACTGATGCCATAATTATAACTGTTAGCTAATTTTTTTTATGTGGGAATACTTTTTTTAGGTTTGGTAAGACTTCATAAAAGCTAAAAAGTGAGTAAAAGGTATTCTGACAGTCTGGACCTCCCTTTAGCAAAACTGAGACTTCCATGAGAAAAAAACAATGCAATAGTTTGGCAACTTTAGTGTAAAATCTGATGATATCAGGTGGTAGTTAATGACAATCATAAGCAGAACTACTGTGCAGGGGATGGAACACAAAAACTGAGTGCAATGTAGGTTCTTTCAGAGCTTACGTGAGATGTTAACCTTTGATGCTTGGGGAATAACAGCTGGCATATGCAATTATAGGTGAATATTAGTAAGTCTGAATTTATTTTTATTGCAGCATGTACTATTTGGGTAAAATACAGATGAACAAAAGAAATGAACAATGAAAATGATACAGCCAAATGCCTAAAGAAGGCATTGAATTCTTTCCTGTTCTGCAAATAGTTTCCTGTTCTCCAAGGTTTTCTATTAGTAAGGGAAGCACTTCTACATACAGTACCAAAGTGATGCTGCACAGTGATGTTGTATGTAAATATCATAGATGGCAAAAAGGAAGTGTGTGGATAACTAAATACATTTTGCTGTTTGTTATGAGAACCAAATTTCTGATGGATACAAATTTCTGATGCATAACCTGAGACATAGATAACTAATGGAAGAAAACAGCAGTGGGTGTGAAGTTGCCCACAGATGCACAGTATGTCTCAGTGCTGCATTTAACAGGGAGGGCTGGCTGAAATTCTTCAGCATTTCGACTGAAATGACAATATGACAAATTAAACTTTGTGGTGGGATTTTTACTGTCTTTAATGACTGTTGGTTTTAGAAGTATCACTGTTGTGATCCTTTGCCAAAAAGGAAGGTTAAGGAAAACACAGGTGATGAATGAAAGCATCATGTGTGTCATCTCTAACTTGCAGCCATTACATGACAGACTTTCTCAACTAGTAGTTTTCCTTTTTTGTTCCAGGCTGCTGTAAGTAATCAGTCAGATAACAAAAGTAGCAGCAGCAAGACAAGCACACTGCAGAAATCTACAACTCAAGAAGGAGAGAAGAAAATTGAGACTGCTGTGTCAAGACTAGAAAGAAGGGAGCATCTAAAAAAGTCGAACACCCTTCCAACTTCTGTGACAGGTACAGTTGAGAGGTTCAGATTCATTCTAGGAATAATGCACTTTAGAGGTGGTATTGCATGTTTTTGAGAAAGTGAATGAGGGGGTTTGCTTTCCCTCATACACTGCTGCTAGAATTACAAATACATTCCATAGAATAACACAACTTATTCCCATCTCATGTGCTGGTCATTATGATGGAAATACATAATTTAAACAGACTTTTACCAGTCTCCCCAGGTTATTAAGGCTGCACTGCTTCTATTCCTTTGAACTGCCCCAGTTCAAGTTAATGAAATTAGGCTGTCTCCCCAAGCCATATCCAACAGTATTTTTGGAACATAACTAATGCACATTAGAGGGATCTGATTTACCGTAAATTGCAATTGCAGTACTGTTTTGCCTTTAGGTTGGGGGTTAGCACAGGCAGGGAATGGTATTTAACTTCTAACTATTTAATAAAGTATATTTATGCAGCAAATGAAGCATGTTATGTTCTCATATAATTTCTCATATAAGGAGAAATATTCACCCCCCAATACTGAAATATTTGAAAAACGAAAAAGATAATCAATTCAGTTGAAAGCAATTTGTTACTTTGAATCTAGGACTTCTCCCTCCCAGTCAAATATTTGGCATGGTAGGTTGGAACCAGAACTTACTGCTTTATCTATCACTTCAGTTAAGCCAAAACTATCCCATACTCAAAAGCCAGGTAAATTAAAATAAATACTTCCCCAAAGGGCATAATGAGGTGGCATGAGGTGATTGTTGAAATACAGACTTGCCTGTTTATCTCCAGCTAACAGTAGTCCTAGAGGAAAGGTCTTGGGGCAGATAGGTGTTGAAGAAACCTTTTAAAAAGTTGTGCAAGTAAATAGCATGTTTGAAAGTAAATACATGTATCAGCTGCATCTATTCAGTACCACTCTAGCCAAGAACTGTAAAATGCAACTATTGCAAGCAATGAGGTAACACAACTGATTCGTGAAAGGCTAAACCAGTGCTACTCCTTTGTTACAGACTGTCCCAAACTGACAAACCCCTACACTTGCCTATATTCAGTTCATTCAGCAGCTGGATCTTCACACTGTAGCTGCACACAAGAGCAGATGTCCCCGAGAACTTCACTTGGAACATCTTGGGTTGGCCAATGACCTTTAAAGGACCTTTCCAACCCAAACCATTCTAAGATCTTACATAAATTTCCCAAAATGTTCATGCTTTACAGCATTTCTGTGAGATTTTAAAGGAGCTCTATTGCAGCCCTACCCCCAAAGACTCAGCATGGTGTTATGCTATACATGGTCAGTTCTAGCAGAAATCAAACTCCACCACAATAGATGATGCCAAATTAGATCAAAGAGCCAAAACCCAATTATCCAAGGTCATTCTGGCTGCACTAGAGTAACAGTTCAGGAGGAAATTGAGGAGGAATTGACAATTTTGAAATATCTGAAGTGAAAGCACAGAACTCTATTGGCCCTCAAAAAATAGTGACTATATTTCCCTGTGATTACTGACTATATTTGGAGCCAGGCAGCCTTTAGCAACAACACATATATACAAGTATTTGTGGGTAATAAGACAAATTTGGGCTTCCCATGGTTAGAAGAGCATTTAAGACAGAAGACCAGCTTAGGACATGTTTAAAATGGAAGTCTGCTGAGTCCTCCTCTAAGGACATTAAAAACACCCACAACTTGAAGGTGGTGTATATCAAAATTGCACTTGTGACTTGTACAACAGGAACTGTTAAGAGTGTGGGACCTTTAAAATAGCATAAATTACCATAGTATTTAAAATCATTATCTTTTCAAAGTGTCCATCTACAGAAATTGCTGCTGCTACTGTTCATTTACTTGTAGATAAAAATATATGATTAAAGACACACTAAAAAGAAAAATAGAGCATTTTTTTGCATCCATGCAATTTTAAAGCTTCTACACAATTTTAAAGCTTTTATACACATTCAAAACCTCAAAATGCAACTTAAAGTAACTGGGAACTTGAACATAAAAAAAAATAATTGGCTCCTGAAAAAGAAAATGTGTAAAGATGGGGCATTGGCGAGATGAGTAAGGAGTCATTTTGCAACTAAGATTTTTAGAGTTACTCGGTATATTTCAGACAGGACTCATTCCTATTCAGGTTGCCTTCGAGGGCATTCACTGTCTCAGAATTTATTTTCCCATTTGACTTCTACAATACTTCCATGGTTCTGCTCTGTGAAGTTGCTTCTTAGAAATCATTTGTTTATTAAACACATTTTCTTATGGAGACAGCTGTTTGTCTTATACTACTTAGAAGAAAATGTGGCAAACAGCTAGTGAGGAAAGCAGGTTTTCTTTTTCAGAAGTCTCTTGGGCAGGATTAATTGAGGCAGGAAGCTATAGGACCACCTTCCTCTCTGAAGAGGGAATCTAAATGCTACTGAATACATTTGGTTTACATGTGTGCAGCAGCTGCATTACCAAAGAGAATAAAAAAAACCCCTAGCTTTACTTCCCATTGTTTGCTTAAAGAGGAAGACTAGAAAATTGGAAATGTTTTCTTTGGACGGCACAAGGACTAAACATTTTGTCCGTATTTTTGTGAGTTAGATTACTTGGAGTCACCTTTGAGAAAGGAAACTTAGCTCCTCCTAACTTTATTATTTTGCAAATACAGCAAGATTTAACTGAAAGTGTTGGAAATAAGTATCTAGTGTTAGAGTATCTTCACATAAAAGTGAAATCTCTAGAATCCGGCAACAAAGCACAGGATTCAACTAATGTTGGTTTTTTTCCCTCTCCCTATCCCATAAAAAAGTGGAAATTTCAGATTCTGTTCCATCGACCCCAGTGACAAAGGAGGTGGCCAAGAGATTCTCTACGCCTGATGCTAACCCAGTGTCAACAGAACCAGCCTGGCTTGCGTTAGCCAAGAGGAAAGCAAAAGCCTGGAGTGACTGTCCACAGATCATAAAGTAAACTGTGAAGTTACCTCTCTATTGCTGACTATTAATTGCTTTCTTTTATTTATTCTGCTTTTTACACATGACAAAACTGAAAATGCATGTATTGGAAGGACTGAAAACTGAACTGATTACCATTTTGCTCTAGCTCATTGTAAAGTCTACTCAAGTCACTGCTTTGACAAATAGCTAAAAGAGGTCATGACAAAAATTTCACAGCCAGACTCTCTCAGAAACTTGAGAGCGCTCAGAGACTGGATGTAAATTTTAGCAGGTATCATAATAAGGGCCAGAACAGAATAAGGGTTCTTAAAGAATAAGCTTCTAAAATTCTGTTGGTATTCAGTTCTGGAATTTTAGATCTCTATGCTGAGATCTCAGCAATTTTTTCAGAACTTTGTTGTTGAAATTAAGGAAAGATGCATGTTTCCTTCTCTTAAGTCATAATTTATTAAAACATGTTAAACTGTATGAACTGCCAGTTCTGCCTGCTATTTGAAAGCTTTTTCCCTAAGGAAGAGCTTCAGGATACACTTTTCCACATACAAATGATAAGTAGATGGTACCATCCAAATGCTGAGAGTAACTTCTTCCATCACAGGATTAATACACTACATCTATACACTCTCACTTCTAAGAAAACAATCCTATTTAAAAAGCCACAATTTTTTAAACAAATATCATTAAGCTCTCAGAAAGAAGTCAGGGATTCACTGTTTCTTCTAGTCATTTAAGTGCATCACTGTTTGTGCTTGGCCATATTTATGCTGCATAGAGACAGTGATTGTGGATTACAACTTTAAATCAATTGACTGGAATGAACCTGTTCCTGTGCGAATGCATATTCCTGTAGAATTTGTGTCAGTAAGTTCCCACAGGAGTAGGACTGGCTGAAGTTAACTGAGAACTGAAAGCTAAGTTAGTGAGAGTTTTAGGAGTTTTAACTCTGCATTCTTCTCGATTTTACTCCACATGCAACTTCAGGCAGTTCAGATAACTTCCTGTACTCTGACCAATACAGTCAGAACACTTCAAAAAGTTTACTTACCCCATCTCAGGTATCTGGTGTGGCAATTGAACACTTTATTACTTCACATAACTAAAACAGAAATATCCACCCCCTCCCTCTTACAAAAAAAAGGACAAAGTCCATAAATGTAATAAAAACATCACTATCCTCAACATCCCACAGAAATCTCTAGGTCTGTATTTTAAAATATTACCCTATTAAGTAAATCAACTGAGTTTGTTTTACAAGGAAGACTTTAAAAAATTTGAAAGTCTCCTTCTTACAACCATAAGGCTCAAAGGAACCTTTAAGCTTACAACATCATGAAGGGAGAGATTTTCATGAAAAGAAATGACATCATTATAGAATGATACAATATATGTCTCATGGAAGTGTTTTAGCCAAACTTCTGTAAGCAGCATGAGAAACAGCATTTTAAACCACACTGGAAACAGAAAGAAACCTGTTGTACACTCTGCTCCCAGAATCAAAAAGGAATTTCAGCAAAAGCCATTGCCAGTACAGCCTTTCCCACTGAACAGAAAACAGAGGCTCAGTATCATGGTTACAGTAGCACAAATACAATGGCTGTGTTAGATTGAGTATATGTGCAGCAGCAAGATGATCTTTCTTGGGTGTCTTAAGCCATCAGTTTTTCTCAGTTTCACATTTAAAATCAGAATCTCTAAAGTAACCTTTACCATGAATATAAGTAATTAATATGTTTTAAGCAGAAATGAGACAATGTTGCTCTCAAATACTTGGGAAAAAAACCCCAACTTAATGCCTTCAATATCTGAAGAAAGGATTGGCCCTGTAGTTACTTTTGCTCTGCTAGCACCAGGAATTAGTGAATCTTAAGGTTACTTTTTTTCCCAAGTTTGCCTGCAGTATGGATATGTAATAACTAAACTGCCTGAAATCCATCTTTACAATTTTTTCTTGGGAGGGGGAGCCAGGTAGAAATACAGAGAAGGTGAAGTAAATCAGGATTAAAGATTCTTGTAATTTGAAAAGCATAGCAAAATTAGGTGCTATTGTGCATGACATAAGGATGCAATTTTCCAATGCAATCCATTTATAGCACATAGAATAGAGCTTTCATTAAGGATGGTCCTAAGCTAAAGCTTTAAAGCAGAGTTTTTTTTCAACCATAAAGGTATCTAGTGTAACAATGGAAACTGTATTATGTACAGTACTTGATGGAAACATTTCTAAAGTGTACATGTGCAACAGTGACATTTCATGTTAAATTAACAAAGATTTGCACTAAATACCAATGAAGTGAAGTGTTACTTTGCTTTAGCTTTGTTGCAACCATTTCTGATAAAGTATTGAAACCTGTAAAAATAAATTCAAAACACTACTACCCAGTTTAAAACAGCAAAAATGTTTTAAGAACCGAATAAACCACTATGTAGTATACTGTCTCAATTTTTTGTAACTTATACAAACATAAAATACCATTTCTTTTGACAAGGTTATACATTATTAACCTCTATGTTCATATAGTAATGTATAAAAACTACAAGATGTATAATTGTGGGGTATTTGTTGTGTACTTTTTTAATTTTTCAAATGTTTTAAAGTGCAATTGTTTATTATACTGTCATTTTAATTCTTATTAAACTATAACCTGGTCAAAATTATCAAATCATTGATATATGTCCTCTGTGTCTCATTCTGTTAAACATGTTAAATATGCTTTACAAATAGATGGTAACAGAACTTCTTACAGTGCTACAAAGGTACTATGTACTACACAGGATTCAAAGTAAATGGCTCATGAGAGAAAGTAAGGTAAGAGTGTCTATTATACTTCTTTTAGAAGACTCTTAGGAAATGCTCTCAGTGAAGTGTACTTTTGCCACTGTAAGTACTTGATTTGTAAGACCCTTGTACTTATCTCTAAGGTGTTAAAGAACACAAAACCCAATTTACACAACCTTTTATTAATAGTTCTTATGAAGACAATGTGAACAGCATTCATTCAAATATCGTAAAAAATTATTTGACAAGGGTTGATTTGAGCAGTCCACACTTCATCTTGGAACTCATACCGTTCCTGTAATTGAAATTTAATAAATATTTTTAGTGTTATTTCCACTTTAGAATACAAGAGATAACTTCTACTGACTTCAGTGGAGTCTAAGTATATGCTAGATTAATTAAGCTGTGACAGGCCTAGGTCCACAAAAGATGAATTACTCTGTTTGTACGAAGTGCAATAAACAGGTCTCTCCTTACAGGTATATGAAATTCAGGCTATGCCTCTAGAAATCAAGTTAAAAGTTAGATTCAAAAATGGACGTGAGTTAGTTTGCCTGGCACAGAAATCTTGAGAGACAGACAAACACTAGTCTGGTGCAAGGAAGAGCCAGGCATAGGCAAGGATGGACTCAGAGAAAGCAATACACTCCTCCTTGGATAGCCTGCTACCCAAGCTATGGAATATAGCACCTTACACACTTTGTGCCCCCTCTGCTCAGCAGCAGCCATCGTCCCTCCATCACTGGATACTGCTGCTGCAAACTCCTACTAGACAAGCCTGCAAGGTGCATCTCTTGCCTGCAGCAAAATAGGCAGAGGGGTAGAGAGCATGTGTGAGCTCCTAGTTTACAAACGTAAACAATAAAAATGAAGCAGCCGAACATCTTAGTTGTTATTTTTTCCTGCTATATACAGATCTAGACAATAAACATAATCATTTCTACAGCCAACAACAAGCTTTGATCCCCATACTACAGGCGAGGAGAAAACCTCGCCTGGAAGCTTATCTGCTCCTTCTGCTGTTCCACTCTTGGCATTCAGGATCCACACTTTGCCATCTGTAGATACTGCTGCCAAGAGAATTTTGTTATTTAAGTCATCACTTTGGAAAATGAATGGTGTTCCATATACACTTGAAGTGGCTTCAAATTTCCACAGTAAATTACCCTCCATGTTACAGCAGTAGATAAAGCAGTCGTGAGAGCCAAAAAATATTTCTTGCTTAGTTAAACTTGAGAGGCACGGAGATGAAAACACTGGCCCATTAGTGGAAAATTGCCAAACCTACAGAAAGAACATAACCATACATTATCAAGGGTTTTTTACGTTATCAGTTTTGCAGCAACTGTAATTTTTTAATAGACTCATTGTTGATAGGAGAGCATTTAATTTCAAAAGTATACTAGATTTCAGTGAGGGCTGGTAAATCCTTGTCAAATTATAAGTTAGGTTTTACACAGAGAGTAAGCAATAAAAGTCTCATAAAATAGATGAGGAAGAGGGAAGAGTTAATACCTTCAGTGAGGCCCATGTAAAAATGCCCAGTTTGGGAAAAGAATATTCTTGGGCTGTTGTACAATTAGTAATGAACATCAAGAATCCTGTTAATATGCCATTCTTTGCCAGAAAGGCAGATATTCCTTTTGTAATACAGATTTCCTCTGCTTATGCTAACAATGTGCAGATTCCTCCTCAAGAGAGTATCAGTTCTGCAACACTGTCACAAGCAGAGAGCAGTGCACGGATGGACTAATACATGTTTTATAATCAGAAAAGGCTTAGGAATTACCATGCATACTGCATCTCAGGCCAACAAATGAATGGTGTTTTAACATCAGATACAAACTACATTTATCTCTAAGGAACTAAAAAAATACTGTCATTTAATTCAATATGAAGGCTGATACATATTTTACCAGAACTATGATTTGGCAGTTTTTTGATAAATTCATAAAAATTCTAAGAAACCTTTACTTCTGAATAACCACCATCTTACAGAAGACAGACTAAACATCCTTGAAAAACTCCAAATGAAATAATCTGATGGCACTACACTTACTTTGGGTATAAGGTCTGAACTAGAAATTCTCTTAACGCATCAGGCAACTTGAGTTTGTGATTTTGCCATGAACTTCATGGACTCCCCTAGGAAAACGGTTTTTCTATTTTCTCCTCTCTAACAATGGGCACTTCTATTTGGTTCTCAAAAAGGTATATGTCAATCATTAAGCTCCAGAAAACAGTCCTAATAAAGTATCTTATTCAGGCTTTGAAGATGGACGTAAAAAGCCCAACAACACTTTTACCTTTTCTCCAGAATGAGTATAACAATGTAAGTTTCCATCCACACACCCAACATAGATGTAGTTCTCATTGCAGTGAGGAGAGGAGAAGAGTGGTTTTCCAAGGTTGCTTTTCCAAATCTTACTCCCTGTCACCTGTAAGTGGCAGCATGGAATATCTGATGTTTAACACAACTATAAAAAACAGCACAAAACAACCCTTCCATCACTGCCCCACCAAGCCCTTAAGCAATGTGGAAAAAAACAAGCCAAACCCCCAAACCAAAACAACAACAACCCACACACCACACAAAACAAAAATGTAATCAAAAACTAATTTTCTTCTTCACCCTAGGCAAAGTAATAATGATAATTAATAGTGTATTAGCAGTAGTTCTAATAAATGCCAGATTCAGTTTTTTTATTTCATTCCCAGCTGCTCAGTATGTGACAAGGACCAATGAAGTAGAGATACTTTTGAATCAAGTTATATTGATACTCTAGGACATGTTGCAACTGTCTGTGACTGTCCCCATGCATTCCTAGTATACCCTGCACGTTCCCCAGGAATTAGTATTATTAATAAAAATAGGAAGGTGCAGACTTGCTTGTAGGTGGGTTTCTCAACTACCTGTTACTGTGGATTATAGAATAAAAAAAATCTTTTCTTAAGCACAGCCCACTGTGGCTGCAAAACCACACACTGGTTTTCTAATGGTAGACTGGTTATTACTGAGAACAGTTGTAGTGGGTGGAAGGTAAAGGTGATTAGGATTGATGCTTTGTGTTCTGTGAGTACAAAAACATTAACAGCTGCTTCAAGTCCCTGTTCCTTTTATCAGGCAGGACCAGCTGTAAGCCAACAATGCCTCAGAAAACCATGAAATTTCTCCACGTTTATCAAGAATGCCATTTCCCCAGTGCAAAGAACAGAACTGCACACTGAGAGTAAAAGGACAGCTCTTAAATATGGCAAGGAAACAATAAGAGGAATGAAGTGGCTTCTTTCTGCATTCTCTTCAGATTTCTGCATTTTTTTTTTTTCAATCCTACTGTCAAAGGAGGAAGGGGCAGGAAATAAATCTATAGACTTGCTCTCACTCACTGGTTTTACTGATATGGCAATGAAAAGAAACTGACTGCAACTTTGGCCTACAGTCACCATGTGAATTCAAGCACGTCACTTCAGTTCTCCTTATCACCAGACAGATTTCTGAAGTATGGAAGTATTATGGTAACCTTGTATATCATAATGCCCCCAAGTGAAAAATATTTCTTGATAACATATGATCATCTTCCCTTTCATTAGAATAGTAATCTTAACTTCAGAAATATATTTGGTTTCATTTAAACATGAGATCAGGATGAAGATACATAAGCAAAGGTACATACTGGGTTAACAGCCAAAAACAGTCCTCCTAATGTAGCAACATAGAGATGATGTGGAAAAGAACTTAGACAAGGAGATGAAAACACAGCTCCACCTTCGCAATGTAACTTCCATACACACACCTTTTTCTGTAAGTACAAGAAAAAAAGAATAATAAACAATTTTTCACTTGGAGTTAAGAGTTCATCCTGTTTACAAAGACCTTTGAATGTCAAACATTATCAAGTACTGTGTTTACTCAGCAAATACTAGTTAAGAAGTGAAGACAAACTACTTGCCATGACAGCAACACATGTGCCATTGGCTTTCTCTTCAAGTGAACAAAATAAATTCAGCTAATGAAAAGGCAGTATCTACCCCTTTTACCTTCCATCTCCCTCCATTTTCTCATTTAGAATGTAAGATTCTTTCCCCAACAGAAAACCACAGTTCTACTTCTAGCTAGGCACCCTATTCTGAAACACCCATGAAGAATTTAATAACTAAGAAACTTAGGATTTGGCTTCAACCAGGACTACTAACACAAGAACCACAACTGAGAACACCACTAAAACTGTTAACTGTCACATAATCCTAACCCCATTTACAGCAGGCACGTTCAGAAGTGCGATTGTGGACTCCTAAGATTACTTACACCAGTGGGGACCTCCTCTGGTGCACTATATATAGAGTCTAAATTGGATGTTTATTGTTCTACATGTAAAAGTCAGTTTACTTACATAAATATCCAAAGCATACACGTGTTGGTCATGTGATCCAATGTAGATCAGTCCACTGGAAGGGTCTACAACTGCAGAGCTTTTCACAGTGTCTTCTGTGACAAAAGTCCAGTGTATTTCTCCATCACTGCTCTGGAGCACATACACTAAGCCATCATAACAACCTGTGTGGAATAAAACATGATGGGGGAAAAAAGAATAATGATTATTTGCATTTATGGTGTGACTTATGCTGCTAGTTGCATCACTGCTGGAAAGAAATAAGATTATTCATAAGGTAGAGTTTCAAAATACTTCCAAAAGCTCCTCCTGTGTTTTTAGCTCAAAGGTTTTGCTGATACAGTCAAAGACAATTGTTCTGTGTGCTTTTTCTAAGTTACATTTAGAATATACTTATTTCACTACCTTTCTATCAAATTTTTCAGTAACAATATTAGAAAACTTAGTGAGTTGCCGAAAAGGGAGAATACAAAAATTTTTAATTACCTCTTTGTCTAGGTTTTGTTTCTGAAAACAAAGGTGTTAAAAGAATAAAGTTTGTAAGTTTTCTAATGAAAACCGAACTGTCATCATAGAAACTCCTTCATGTTAATGAAATATTCAATTTTATTATCAAGAGTGAATAGCAACCAAAATACAAACAAAAAGATGGCAACATTAGATTTGCATTAAAAAACCTCACCACTTGGACATCTTTGCTAATTAGTGATGCAGATATATTGGCTAAAAAGATAACACTAAGATAAATAATGGCAACTCCTCTGACAAAAGATATGACAAAACCAAAAAAAATTATCCAAACATGTTCTTTACATTTCCAAAAAGAAGTATTGAATTAAATAATTAAACTTTGTGAAAAATAGTATGAGGTACCACGGACTAATTTCTAACTCCATCAATTTACAATCAATTCACAAAATTTTAAGCATTACCTTCGCATACTTTAAAAAAACCCAGTTTAAATGTCACACCTTAATCTACCACTACAAAAAGAAACTGTAGCCACTGATTATTCCTTATTAATAAATTGCGATATAATAAACCACAAGTGTTTATGTTAGATAAACTCCAACACTAGTTATCATGAAACTTAAATTACTTCTTCCTTCTATTTTGCAATAAATTAGTTCTGAGGCAAATATGGAAGTTGATGGATAGAGGACAGCTAGAGATAAGAAATGTGATTCTCTGTCATTCATCTTGTATTTAGCAGAAAAGAGAATTTAAAATGAAAGCTGAAACAAAAGACATACCAACAACAATGAAATTTCCACACTTGGATACACAGGCAGAAGATTCAATACGATCTCCAAGGGTCTTCTCCCATTTTATTTCTCCCAAATCTAGATCAATTGCCTGCATTGCATGGGAGTGAGAGCCAACATACACAGATGCAGATACTCCTTCTTTAGCTGGTATTACAACCAGTGGCGATGCATCAACACATTTTCTTGTGTTTGACTTCCACCTCACACACATGGCCAACTCTGCCACTGATGAATGACTACATTCTGTATGGTTCTGCTGAACAGAGGAATGGCCATTTTTATTTGCCTTGTTTTCAAGTGTTAAAATTCTGTTCTCCATTTCAGACCTTTGCACATGGCTTTTCATTACACCTGGAGCCTTGGAATGCAGGAAGGATGGCTGCTGTAGTGGTTCCACTCCTACCCATACTGTATTTTTGGGCTGCATACAAGACTTGGTGAAATTCATAGGGAAAAAATTATTTCCTCTGCTCAGTGCAATAAATGGAATTAATCCTGAAGCAATCTCAAGACCTCTTTCAGATGTCAGTTTAATATATTTTCCATGGAATTCCTCTCCACTGCTCCCCCTTAATTTTCTTTTCACAACATTGTCAGAATTCATTAATTGTTCTTCATCTGGAAACAGCATTTTAATAATATGTCTGTAAACCTCTTCAATTGAGTGGCTGAGAATAACTTCAAGGAGTCCAGGCACAGCATTGCCTACTAACATCTCAATTTCTTCATAAAATCGTAGTGCCTTCAGGGAGTCTCCACCGCTGTACAGAAATACTGCATCTTTAGAAATTCCAGTGGAATCACATGGAAGACCAAGGACAGACTAGAGAAAAAAAAAAAAAGAAAGATTCCAGTCTGTAGGTGTTATACTATGTCACACACATAAAACCTCAGGTGGGGTAGAATCCACCTGAATACCTAAAAGTTGTGCGTAAAATCAACAACTGAGAAACTTCACTACTCTGCAAAAAATCTTTGAAAAATGTTAGTGTCAACAGAGGGACTGATAGAACAAGAACTGGGGAGGAACCAGGAAACAGGGAGATACCAATTCTCTGCTACAAAATGTCTTGCTCAATTCCAGCTCTGCAGTTTAAGGAATTAAAGGGAATTGTACTATATATTGATTGACCATTTTCAAAACCATTTATCAATGACAACTTTGCAGACAAAATATAAATGCCTTTTCATAAAATCAATTTAGGCATTTTATTTTAATAATAACGTTTATATAAAATGTTTTTTTTTTTTACTTGTGAATTATTTAAGTAATCTACTTACCTACCTACTTTTGAAGTTATAAGCCTTTCAGTTCATGCAAGGTTTTGCATGTGTCATTATTACTACAACAAACAGCAGTAACTATGTCACCTCTCACTGCACTCCTTTGTTTTTTACATCTGGGTGTCAAGTCCAAACCCTTTGGTTTTGGATGCCACCTTTTATTGTCCATAACGGGTCTAGGGCACATCCAATCCTTTGGGTTATCACTTCATAGCCATCAATGTGAAAAGGATCAGCACAGACAAACAAATACACTACATTTACTTGTTCAAGTCCTAGGCCACAGCTAATCCCACTTTCAGCAGAAACTTCTAAGTCCACCTTTGAAAAACAAAGTAATACTGTTTGGCATCATATTTCAATACCTTGAAAAACAAGTCTTTAGCACAGAAATTTAGAAACAATCCAAACAGGCAGTCTGAGAGACAGTTGTGCAACCATGCCATCTATTTAAAAAAAGGACTTTTCAATTTATAATTACCTTGAGAAATAAGAAACTCTACTAACACTGCAGCTATTTTTTTACAAAGTTTCCATGTCCCAGTTCCTTGTTTTCTTTAGTGATACCTTCTTTTGGCATGTGAATCAGCATTCAAAAAGCTACTGACAGATTACATTCTTTTTATGCTAATTGCTTACACCTCATAGCCTGCAGTTTTATCTGATAGAGAAATATAAATTACTCCCTCTTGGCCACTGCAGAGCAACTCTATTTAAGTATTAACTGAAGAGAAAAGAGCTGTACTGCTAAAATCTATAGGCAGCTAGAATGTTCTGGTTGCATTAGTCATACTTCTTAAAACTGTTTAATTCCTGACACATATATAATGATCCACTTGCAAAGATAAAAAGGCAGCTCAAAATACTACCTTCCATAAATACTGCAATCTTTCCCACAATTCCTCTGCGTCACTCAGCTTACTGTCACGCCTTCTGGAGTTTAGATGGTTCTGGTAAATCTTGTTGAGTTCAGATATATCAACTTTGCCTTTGTAGAAAATAAAGGACGATTTTTTTTCATTGCTCTTTTAGTATTAGCACTTTCAAAACTTGCTCTGCCCAAATAGTCACTATATTCTTGTATGTATTTCCTTACTCATACTCTACTGCATCTGCATTTTTTTACACAGTTGATCAACTGCATGAAACCAAATAAGGTTTTTGAAAATTTACCCCTCCCACATAATCCCACCTTCAAGGCCTTGCTTTCCTCAGCAGAAGTGAGGGTTCTGTTGCAGACTGCAACAGGAGTAACTGAGGTAAGAAATGTGGAGTGTTAAAACTAAATTGATTTTTCCGCTACTCTTTGATTCTCAAATGAAACATCATCAAGAAAACATAATAATACATGGCCATTATTTCCTACTAGGCATTACTTATCTAATGTACATATTCTAAAAGCATGATACTGGATTGTGGTCAATAAAAAAAAAAGATTAAAAAAGCAATGGATACCATTAAAACAAGTGGCAAGGGTTCTTAATGGCTTCATTTACCATGTGATGTTAAAGGCAAAGCTTTAATCTCTACAATCTCATCAGGGACTGCATAAGCTGGTAAACGCATCTGGAGTTCTTTAAGTGTTTCTCTCTCTTCAAAATCATCTTTGGGTAAAACAAACAGGATAAGTTTTTCCTGTTGATACCAGGTAACTGCACAAGCTTCTACCTGGCAAAGATCTTCAGCAACCTGTAATTGAAAAACATTAGTTTTGCTTTGAAATGCAGTTCATCAATAGAGAAAAAGAAGTAAAAAACAATTTAAAAAGTGCACACCTTTAAAAACTGTATTTTTCTCACATGCCTATGTAACATCCTATTAAATATCTACTTTTGTAGCTGAAGCTTGTACTTAACATAAAAACGATCAGAGATATATGTATTATTTGCCAAAATACCATGAATGAGATATAATCTAGCAGTCTGTTTATACAGTTCTCAATTCCCCTGGAAGAAACCATACAATAAAACAGATTCCCAAGAACTTAGAACAAACTCCTCCCTAAATTATGTGACTAGATTTTTTATAATACACTCTCCAAATTCCTTCAGACTTCTAGAAGTCATCTGAAAACAAGAAAATATCCATTTCTGATGATAACAATGTGCTCCTTATATTTGCCTTATTACAGTGGCATACTCTACTCTTGATGTGAGCACTTACCTGCTGCAGATATTCAATATTAAAACGTTTGCCATGACGTTTAATCTGATTGTCTTTCCGACCCAAGAAGAACAACTTTGCATTCTCCACTCTTACAAAATCCCCTGTTTCTCTCATTGTACCCAGTGGCACAGTTATTTCGTCATCAAGAAAGCAGATTCGTTCTTCACCACCTACAGAAAAAAAGATTATTGCCATATATATTAAATACCTAACTGTAAATGAAAATTATAAAGAGTGTTTTATCAAATTCTCTTAAACTTTACCATGCATTATAATAAATATTGAAATATTATCGACATCTAAACTTCTGCAATGTACAATTTTGGGTATGCAGCTAATTCAGCTAATACACAGAAATTACTTCAGCAGAGAATGTCAAAATGCAAGAAGGGAAAAAGAAATCAATATAATGAAGACATAGTCTGCAGATAAAATGATGGTAATTTCCTGTTCATCATTCCAACAATCTAAAAAACTATCAGAAGGTTCTCGGCCCAATCAGAACTTAAAATGATATATTAATCTGTATACCATAGGCAAATACCGAGCAAAAGAATCAATATATTATTAAAACTCAACCAATTAAGAACAGTATCTTAGAAGAATTAGAAACAAAATTACCTATCAATATTTGTCCCTCGCCTTCAAGAACTGCAGATCCATTGGCATCTCTGACCTCAAGTTTTGTTCCAAGAAGCGGTGATCCCAAAGGTACAGGAAAATCCATTCTAAATATATCAGAGAGAAACAGTAGAAATCTTTCTCTTCCGAACACAAAACAACTGCCCCAGAAATCAGGCATCATGTAGTTTTTTAAAGGACAGGCATCAGAGCAAAGGTAGCTGCTTGGGACTTCTTTCTATAAATGCTTCTTCTTTCAAAACATATCAATTTATTAAAAATTAAAAACGCCATCTGTGTGCATGGGTGTCACCAAAATATACCAGAAAACCCCACAGACTTATAGAAAATAAGGCCTGAATTGACCTTGAAATGCCCTGAGAGAACCCCAAGCATTTCAGTTAACTTCTAAGTCTCCCAGATTGAAACATCCATCAAGTCAACCAATTTAAGTATGTGTAACTGCTTTCTAACTCATTTTTCCCTGCCTAATTTGAGCTTTTACTCTATTTTAATAAGTACAGTTAAGAAAAGTTCAGAAAAAGATTTAGAAAACGTTCAGTTCAGAAAAGACTGAAATACAAGAAACTGTCATTTCAATATCATGTATCTATTATAGACTTCTCTTGAACTACTGACCAACTCTTTCCTTTCCCTTCATTCTCCAACCTCTTCAAGCAGTTGCTGGACCCCATTTATTGAATATAAAAGGTATTTCTAAGTGGCAGTATAGAATAATACATTTTCTTCAGTAAAGCAAAACTTAAAGCAATTTTAAATAACTTCGGCATGGATTCCAGTTCAATTTCTATTTTAAAGTATTACATTTTATGTTTGAACTCAGAGAAAATTAGTTTTACATGAGAATTTAATAACATTCATGACAATCCACCATTTTTAGTCTTCAAGGGTTTAAGCACCAGGTTAATATATCACAATTTGTGCAAACCATCCCATTTTGTAGGACATGTTTAACTCAGATTGCACATATAATTATTATGACTTGGAATAATCACATATTTCAGAGAGAAAACGAAACAGTGAGATAATGGGAAGTACCTTTCATGACTCTGTAAAATAATATGAAGAAAAAATGCTAAACAACCAAACAAGTCAGAAACTGAGTGAAATATGACAGTGATAAAAAGAAAGTACTTCTTGAAGTTTAGGTAAATTGCTGTGAAATCTTGGGTGAGCCACCTTGGACAAATTTCTGTCATCCACACTACTAAAATTGGGGAAGTGGGGCTGTACAGGCTCCTGAGATAATGAATTAGTCTGTTTCTACAGAAAATCCAAATGTAATTTCTAACAGTATAAACACTCATGAGGACTCAGTAGCCCTGGTAACAGGAGTCTGAGGTTCTATTTCTGGTGATTTTCATCATTCACATGCCAAGCCATTGAGAACAGCAAATTTTCCTACCTAAAATCAGCACTAAAAACCTCCTCAGGAATCTTGTAGCAAGTGGCCCAGCTTGACACTTCAGTTATACCATAGAGATTAAAAATACTTGTTTTGTTCTCCTTGTGCTTCCAACTTTTCAAGAGACTCAGTACAGGAAATGCTTCACCACCAAGGGCTAAGACACGAAGTGAAGTATTTGCAGACAACACTCTTGATTTAATAATGTGAGCTCCAAACCTCCTGAGAAGTGTTGGTGTTGCCTGAATGATACATAATTTAAAAAAAAAGAGAAAGAGCTGTTACATTTTATCAGTGTAAAATCAGTGTATGTGTACCTCTCATCCCGCTTGATCCTATCAGCTGCATAGCTGTATTATGGATGTACTTTAAAACATCTAGGTATTAACCATCACAATGGTGTGATTGTGAGATTTTGTTTCTTATAAGGCCTTTAATAAGTACTATCAGCATCAATCTATGCTCTTCTGCAAAGCTTCTTCTTTACTCAGGTGTGTTACGGGTTCCCTTTTGCATCTCAGCTACTACCTCAAGTGTATGCACATTAGTTCTTATGTTAATTATTTGGAAACAGAAAGCAACACCGTATTCTCTTCATGTTATTGTTTGAGCCTGCTTTTCTTTCATTCCCAAATGTTACAGCAAAAATATAACCCATACATCTCATTAACCTGTATATGGAACATTTAAAGACCTTACATAACACTAAAAATTCCTAGGATATCAGATTCTGGGTTGTCCTTGATTTATGTAAATAGAACAGTTTACAATAATTAGTTTTTCTCAAAGGGGGAAAAGATATAAAACCCAAATCCCCCAAACCAGTTTTCTTAAACAGCTATTTCTATAAAACTACTGGTGATATACAGCCCTTTCACTGAAAGGAAAAAAGCAGCAAATCATTTTACCTGGAACATTTCAATCTCATTCTTGCCTATTTTTCTAGTAAAAAACCTGGAAAATTAATGGTATTATTTTTTACCACGTTCTTTTTTTCTAGTAATGGATGAAGACCATCTTTTTTCAGCTGATAATTTTAACTTTAGTGAAATTATAGCAACAAAATAAAACACAACAAAACAAGGGAAAAATTTTATACTCTTCCCTCCCTCAATTATTTTTGGATTTGTCAAGTCTGCTCAAAAAATTCAAGGGGAGGAGGTACTGTCTTTCTATTCTTTAAGGAACATCATAAAATGACTCATCCATCAGTTAAGAAGGAGAATATTTTTGTCAATTATTCAGCTGATAAGTCCTTCCTTCACTGATTAGGACAGTGATTAAGAAAACAAAACAAATCAAACTTTTCTTAGAAAGACTTCAAAAATCTTCATGAAATTTTGCCTTTCTCTATTAGCATGCTTAACATGCTTAACAAATATATCTTTAGAAGTCTTAAAAAACCTTGCTCATAGAGAGCAATATCGCAGAATTTTTTTTCTAAAAGCAACTGATCTGAACTGATCATGAAACTTGTTTATCATAGGATAATCTACACCATTTATAGCAATCCTAACAAACGACAATAAGAGCAGAGAATAGTTACAAAAGATTTGTAACTAATGGATTTTTTTTCTGGTGTGGAATCTTCAGCCAGCTACTCACTAATTTCAACTTTACACCCTACAATCTCAACTATCACCATTCTTACAGAAAAAAAAAAAAAAAAAGGAAATGGAATACAGTCTGGAACACAAGTTCCACAAAGAGCAGCTGAGTGAGCTGGGGGGTGTTTAGCCTGGAGAAAAGGAGGCTCAGGGGTGACCTTTTTGCTCTGCGAGTGCATGAAATGAGGGTGCAGCCAGGTGGGAGTTGGTATCTTCTCCCAGGCAGCAAGTGACAGGACAGGACTACAGGTACAGGCTAGCCTTATTCAGCCATGCTGGATGCTTCAAGTAAATTTTGCAAACTTTACAACTATTAAAATTGAAATCATAGAGGAGATCATATAGGAGATAACCTTATTTAAGGCATAAGAGATGCATGAAGCCTCATATAAGCAGGTGACACATAAACAGTAAGTATTGCTCTGAAATCAATTATTACCTTGTTCTCATTACTGTAAAAATTACATTTTACCACCCAATATATAGCACTGGTTCAGTTGTACTGTTAGCATAAAAACTAACATTAAAACTTAAAAGTTGTTTATGATGAAAGACTCCAAGATCAAGCCCATTAAAAAGTGCTTAAAATGTTTGTAACAGTTTACTCTATTACCAGATTCTTCAGAACAAAAAGTTTAATTAATAGAATGATTCACTTAACTCTTAGCAAGTAAAGGTTTCTTAAAATAATCTTTGGCTCAGTGTTTTCTATCATAAAATGTTTGAGGTTTTGATCAAATGGTAATTTTCTAGGTAGCTAACAGTCTACAACAAAAAGGATAGCTATTTCCTTTGAGCAAGAACACTCCTGGTCCTATTAGCATTAGATTCTAGGCTGATGAAAAAGTAGTACACATTAGCAAAAGTGAGAAGCAAGACACTGGAGACACTTAAGATTTTGCCTACCTGCAACACTGTCACATGGTGGTGGTGAAACAGAGCAGCAGAGAGCTCCATGGGCATCATTTTAATGGTGTTTGGTACGACAAGAATAGAGGCTCCACTTGTCAGAGCCATGAACAGTTCAACCACAGATGGGTCAAATGTGAGAGGAGAAGCCAGGAATAGCACATCATCTGGTGTGATCTCAAATATGGATCTAAAATCAGAAAGCTAGGAATTACAAATCTGATGCACGTAATCAAAAAAACCCTTCTCAACTAAAAGAATGAAAGCATGAAATGCATTAGCAAAGCTCAGAATATTATGGGCTCTGAATATGTAGACAGGTAATTTGAGCAAGAGCTCCTGGACTGTAACTGGTGATTTCACCAATGATGCGTTTTATGAAGATACCCACCACATTACAGACCAATAGAGTTCATTGAAAGGCATATTTCAACTAACAGATGCTCATTAAAAAAAGGATAAAGAAAGAAAAAGAAAAGAAGAAAAGACAAGAAAGAAAAAATATTGTATTTTGCATAATGTATTTGTTTTAATACAACGTGAAACAGAAAGAAAGCTGGGTAGCCTAAAAAGAAATTATGACTTAAGAACTACAGAACACAGTAAATATAACTGCGAACAAATTATTAATTTCATTGTCTTTTTTTTTAAGCCACAAGTCAGATGACAGTACAAAACCTATGAGCAACAGTGTATTATTTGAAGCACAGCCCTCAAAAATGAAGGAAAAGCATCATTTAAATATAATACTGATAGAGAAACAAAATATTATATGATTCTACTTGGAAATAAAAGAAAAAAAACTGCAAAGGTGGATAAAGAGAAAGAAGTGAAGCTGTGTCAGCAAAAACCCTACATACACTCCTCTGAAGTATTAAAAAAAATAAACCCTAAAAGCATCAAATTTGTAAAGGCATTTGAAAGGAAAACTTAAAACCACACTTACTTAAGATGCTGAATATTAGGCACTATGCATTTATGAGGTACTCTGACTATTTTGGGGATCCCTGTAGTTCCTGATGTATGCAAGACATATGCTAAAGTGTCTTTCTGGCCAGTGTCCATGTATCCTGCTTCTGCTGCTTTTACTTTGGTTTGATCTGGGCCAAAGGCATATCCTGGCTGTGAGTTATCCACAGCTTTGAAAGGTTCAGATTTACTTTTCATATTGTCTACTTCTGAGCTGAAATCAGTGTTGCTTGAGTTCACTTGGAAGAGAGTTAAACCAGTATGTTCTATGGCGGAGGAATTGTGGTAAAAACAGTCAGCATGGGACATCCGGAATTTCTGCAAGAGAAAATGAACAACTCAAACAGTGGAACTCAGGAGGCACTGTTGTTGTTCTACTGCATGCAAAGAAACAGAAAACAGCATTTCATATAAACAAGCTGTGATTTTTCATACCTCTAATTTTGGAACACACACATCAGACTGTTATAAGCTCATGTATTTCTATAAATTAAGTATGAGTGAACACAGACTTCATAAATGCAAAATAAACTGTTATCTAAGCAAATAAAATTAAAAAAAAAAGGGAAAATATAGAAAAGAATTATGCAGAAGACCAAGGAATCTGAACTGTAACTTGTCTATTCCTTTTGCAATGAGTGAGGGTACAAGATTTGGGATGCATTAAACAAAAAGAAACCCAAGTATTAAATGCAGAGTTTTTTTAACTACTGCACGTTTCCAAATCTTAGCATTGACATATACAGAAACAAGTCTGGAAAAGTCTTCCAATACCAGTGCCCAAGAAGGTTGTCTGAACAACAGTGTAACAGGAAAGAAGGCAATTATTTTGAAGAAGAGAGAAGCATTGTACTTGTGATTTTAAAGATGTTCTTTTCTGACTAAGAAAGACAACCTTTTGCCATGAAAAAACAAAACCACTCTATCCAAGCTTTTTAAAACAGAATTCAATCTGTATCTACACACGTCTAAATTGTCCTTTAATGCTTCCAATAGAAGCTTGAACACTTACATTTATTTTGTCATTCTCAACAAGAATATACTGAAGATTGCTCTTCTTCATGAAGTAAGTGGATATGGCTGGTGGTGCATCTGGATCAATAGGTGAATAGGCAGCTGGAACTTGAAGGATTCTAATAAAACATAGATTTTTAAACAATTTTTTATAAAAAGATAAAATCCTCTTAGATTTTGCTAAAATTTATTTTATATTTTTATAGTTGCCTGAGCTAGAAAATGTAGTCATAACATGACTTTTAAAGATCTTGTTGGCAGCAAAGTAGGATGAAAATCAGTGCTGCCTTTTAGTCTTTCACAGCAAGGGAAAAGATTAAAGCTAGATGAAAACGTTCAATATTATTTCTGGCCAAGCAAGTCAGTGATGACAAAAGGTATCACTGACACCAACAGCATCAAATTTTTAAACCTTCTGGTATTGACTAGAAACTGAGATATAACCTTTCCATTTACCCACATATAACATGTATAAACGTATTTTAAAAAGCACCAGAAGTCTGCACACTGAAAATACTTTCCTATGAGTGCAAAGAGCACAGCGTAAGAGAATCTAAGCACACACTGGGCTGTCTTTCCTACAAGGCAGGCGGAGGAGCTGCAAGTCCCTGCGCTCCCGTTCCCTGCCCCTCAGCGGCGCTCCCGGATAACCACAAGTGCTGGAACTCGCTACCGCCCCGAAAAGCAAAGTGAGGAAGCGGCGACTGAAGGATGAACTGTCCCCAAAAATCCTCACATTTGCTCTGCTGTTGGGTTCTGTACCGCAGGTACAATTTATTTATTATACTTCCTCTCCGTGCACACGGTTTGTCACTGCAGTAACGCCAAGGTCCTGAAGGGAGACGTGGGAACGGCAGCATCCCGCATGCTCCTACAGCCACCCGTGCCAGGGCACTTAAACCTGCCCTGCATCACACAGCCGCAATGACAGCTGCAAGAACCAACGAGCCCCAGCAGATCCCCCTCACACAGCAAAAGAAAACTGTTACTAAGTTCACCGGGATACAGAGGACGAATCAGGCAGCAAGGGACCTCAGTATGCCGAGTTTGACCTCCTGCTCAGGCAGAGCCAGCTGTGACACCAGAACAGGTTGTTCAGGTCTTTGTCTAGTTAGGTTCTGAACACCTCCATGGATGGGGCCTGCACAACATCTCAGAACAACCTGCTGAACTGAGGCAAAAGCTTTTCCTGACTGGTGAGAAAGTTCCTCAGTGCTTGTGGGAGGTTTGCACGTGCTTGCTCACTTCTCTGAAATCCTTATACTCCACTGTGGTACCTCCTCTGGTGCCACTGTGTATTTTACATGAGGTGTGAACAACAGGAAAATGCCGACGTAGGCCATGCCCCCAGGAAGCACAACTGCTGCTGTATTCATCAGCAGGAAAAAATATGCTTGTCATCCTGTGATTGTCCATTCCATTATAAATGCTAGGAATACAAAATATACCTATATAAAGGATACAAATATTAGAATTCACCAGCAGAAGCAGATTAACATGAGTGTTGAGACCACAAGCATTTCAACTTCCAAGCCATTAGTTAATCAATACCACTTTAGTGTAATACTGCTCAACTTCTTTCCATAGTATTTGTAATGGAACATTGTATGTTCATTTAGCTTAAAACACGGAATTTGAATACAGAGCATCTTTTTTTTTTTTTTTTTTTCCAGCAAGGCAATGCATTAAAAAAACCCTGCACAGTCCTTTTCACAACAGATGTTTTCTGTCAGATCACTTCCAGTTTAAAACAAGCAGAACAAAGATAGTAGTCATTAATTTTTTTGTATTTCTGTAAACATGCTAAATCACTTTCAATGAAAGGATGCAGTTGCAGACAGTTTACAGCTTTAAGACTTAAGATTCAGAAACATTTTAACAATGGCTTTTCAGGAGATTGTCATAGTGCCATCTTTTTCCCTAAATGATGCAAGACTCTAGCACCTTGGCTGTACTATTATGCTGTTACTACATTTTTGTTGTTATAGAAATATAAACAAAGTGTAAAATTTACTTTAACAGAGAAGACCCTTAGAAAACCAATACAGAGAGCAAGCATTCAAATCATTACCCTAAGATCCACGACGGCAGGTTTATTCCTGGATAGCAGTAAAGGCCTATTTCACATTTGCCTTGGTGGCCACAGTGCTTTTGAAGGAAAGCTGTCAGCTCCATGGCAAGCTCAACCACGGTGGCGTAGGTGTAGAACGCTGGAGGTTTCCCATTGCATTCATCAAAGCAAACTGCTGCTCTGTCCGAGTGCAGGCCGGCTGCCCGAGCCACCAGCTCCTGCAGCATCATCGCGGCCGCATCGCCTCAGGCCCCTGCAAGAACCACAGACCGCACGGCACGGTCACCGCCTCACTTCTAACACTTCAGTCGCACCGCAAAGGCACACGAAACACTACAAAACACACAAACGCTACAGGAAGGAAAAGAAAAAAAAATCCAAACCAAACAAAACCAAACAAAATAACAACTATGGCAGAGAATACACAGATCTACCACGCCTTAGATTACAAAAGGTGCAAAGCTGGATTCTTGACTCGTACAGAGGTAGTTTGTTCCTCACCGTTACACTTTTGTATTTGAAGCTGCGCATCACTGAATTAATAGCTTCATTAACACTGCTTAATCAGTAACTTTCAGCGGAATTGTGAAATACGAATCCTTCCTTCACAAGCAGAAACCCCCAACACGTGAACTTTTAGGGCACTGCTCGTGCTGGTGCCCGTTTCTGCCCCGCGAGCCCTCCCGCCAAGCCCGGACCGGAGACCGGACGGGTCCGGCCTATGGCCCCGCTCCCCTCTCTCAGGTTACCCCACACGGGACGGGCACGGCCCGGCAGCTCCCGGCGCTCCTCGGGATCCCCTCCCGCGGCACTTCCCGGTGCCGCCCAGGCCCCGCCCCCGCGGCGCCTCCGATTGGCGGGACGCGGTAATGCCGCGCTCTCATTGGCCAGCGGCCGTCGCGCCGTTTGCGTGTCCACAAACAGGGCCTACTCCGCCGGAGCCCTGCGCCATTGCTTCCAGAGGGAGGGAGAGAGGGAGAGAGGAACAGCGAGTGCGCCAAAGCATCCCCCGCTGCCTTCGGCAGACATGGGAGAGGGGCTAAAATAAATGCAGATGGCTGGGGCCAAGGACAGGGTTCCCCCCATCACGCTCACAGCTCGCTCGTCTCCGTCGCCGTGTGTCCGTCCCCCTCCGGCCCAGAAGGTGGTACGGGCCTTCCTGCCCGTGGTACGGCGGGGCGGGCGGGGATGTCACGTCCGGGCTGCGGGGGGGAGCTCCGCCCTTCCCTGGGCTGGGAGCGGGAGCTCTCTGGACCATCCCGGGAGCGGCCCCTGCAGCAATCTCTGGACAGTCCTCTGGCGCGGCCCCTGCAGCAATCCCTGGACAATCCTCTGGCACGGCCCCTGCAGCAATCCCTGGACAATCCTCTGGCGCGGCCTCTGCAGCCAGCCCACGCCCGGCTCCTGGCGGGGCGAACGGCGGCGGCCGGGGCTGGGATTCCCCCCCCGGATACGATTTAAGGCCGCCAGCGGGGAGTGAGGGTGAGGGTAGCGGGAGCCGTGCTGCGAAGGGGGCACCGCTACTGCCCTGGGGGCCGCGTGATTTAATGACAGAAAGGCACAGGACCATGGAATGGTAAGGTATGGAAGGGATCTTAAAAATCCTCTAGTTCCAGCACCCTACTGTGAGCAGGTACTCAATGGCCCATCCAGCCTGACTTTGAGCGCTTCCCACGGATGGGGCATCCACACCTTCTCTGGGAAATCTGTACCGTACCACCCTCACAGTAAATTATTTACTTTGGCTCCGAGGTGCATTCAAGGTGTCCTTATTAAATAAGCCTCCGCTCATGGTGCCAGTGATGCCTCAGAGAGAGAGAACGAGAAGACCAGTTCACAACCATTTTTAATATTTGCATGGGAGAAGTTAAACATCAAGCTTTCTACTGTTTGTCACATTCTCTAAGTGATAGTTTGGCACAGTTGCACATTGGTAATACGGCAGAAATGGTTTCACAGTAAAACATCAATGCAAGTAGCGACACCTAAAGCCAGAGTTTTCTCCTTCAGCAGACTCACTGATGTGTGTGTTGGCTGTATGTGATAAAGAGGGTCTAGTAACCTGAAGCATAAACCCAGCTGTCAAAATAGAATGACACTTGAAAAATCATCTCTTTAACTTAAGATTTTGAAGATTACATAATAAGACTTCAGCATTGCAGTGCATCCAAAAATTACAGTACTCACAGTAGCAGTCATAATTTCATTTGTATAATGTGGAGGGGAGAAAAGGCAATGGGACTAGCTTTTTTTTTGAAATTAGAATTATGCCACCCAATGCTCAAATCACATTAAAGCAATTATTACTGGACTTCAAAAATAGCATTTTGCTGAAAGCACATTAAAAGAGAATTTGCACAAGTGTCATTTCCAGTTTGTCCTGTGGACAATTACAGACAGGTAGACTTGTTACAATGTGCATCTAAATGTTTATCTCACATATAAAGGGCTCCTCACATGTATTTGTGATCTCAGAACTCAACTTAGCCCTTCTAAAAATGATTTTCTTTTGAGGGTGGGAAAGTAGAATAGTGAAAAATGTTCACAACACTTTTTCTGGTTTTTTCATACTCCTTCCTGGTTAACCTGGTGGTGGTCAATGTCCACCCTGTTCTGGTTTTGTTAAATTTACTGCCCAGACAAACTGTTATGGTTATGTTAAAAAACAAAACCTGCTAATTTGAAGACATCCACCTACATGCCCCAATATGCAGATCTGGGCACTGGTGAAGCAGCACAGTAAGAGCCCCATGCTCGTCACATCTAGCTTCTCCCATAGGTTTGGCTGCAAATAGGTTCTGATTCCACTGCACAAGTCACAGTCTTGACTTCATTAAAGCATGTGTATTTACATGCTTTTTCAAACTAGGACTTTTGTGATTGTCAATCAGGCACAATTGCTACAAATCCCACATAAAACTCCCTTTTGAATTTAATTAGCAATCCTGTAATTCTCAAGATTATATATGGAAGATGATGGGGAAGGAAGAAGCTCTTAAACTTTTCTATTTATTTTTTTAACAATGTCACAAACAATTATAAGGCCAAAATACACAACATTAAATAGAAAATCTAAAATTAAGTTGCTGGTATTCAGTGAGAAAGACTGAGGTATACAAAATATTTTTAAAATTGTGCGGAAATTTGCAATAGTTTTGAAAAGGTGCTTTTCCATTTTCAGCTAGTGGTTCATTGTCCAAGTGATCTTCCTGCATACCAGTAACTGTGTAATTGTGACCAACTGAACACAATGCATTTAACAGCTAATGGTTCTTCAGAACACTTGAGTTTTTTTAAACATTACATTTATTCTAACAGCAGTAATGTAGTAGAATAAGACTATATCCAAAACAACTCATGATCTTCATCTGATATATCATTTTTACTGCTATGTATGGAAAGTTGAGGGTTTTTTTAGTTTGGATGTTGACAAATTAAAAGTACACTTTAGAAACTGTCAGACTTCCATCCCATAGAAAAAAAGGCATAAAACAGAAAAAAGAACAGCAGTGCCAAATATTTTTTTCTTCTTCCACACTGTATTGGCAATTGATAGAAACACACAAAGATAATGTAATTACATGACTTCTAAAACAGAATTTTAAATTTACAAAACTAAAGAGCTTTTGGCTGAGCATTTCCCTGAGTCTTCATTTTTAAAAATCATGTTAGACATCATGTGCATAGAATCTGTTACAAAGTCCTCAATTAAAAAAAGCTGTATGCAAAAGTTTGATACTTATATTCTTAAAAAGCCTAAGCAACAGCTGCTATGGAAGCAATTTCATTCTTCAGAATCTGGTATTTTTCCTAATGAGAAAAGCAAACTTCAGATACTTTTGCATTAAGACTTTGATAATTTGAAATTGCATCATCACATGATTTGTGCTGTGTGAAAAAGTCTAATGGGGAAGCTTTTAGGGCAAGACCAAAACAACAAACTCTGGGACTTCTACTTAATTAAAAAAACTTTGGTTTCGATAGCATTTTGTGAGAAAATAGAAGGCACAACTGTGCATCAAAACTACATGATTTTGTATTTTAATCTGCTTACATTGTTTTCATCAGCACATCAGACTTTCTGTAAGTCTTTACTTAAAGATGTATTTGAGTAACAGTAATTAGTTAGCTGCTGTAAGGCTTCTGTTTGACCTAAATGCAAGAAGGCATCATTGAAAGTTACATTCAACAACATATGAACTGATGTCCATCCACTAAAAGTTCACCATTCCAGCTCAACGGGATAATCTCCAGTGAGACAAGCTGTGCAATGACCAAGCTTTCCAAAAAATGACTTGTGGGTTTTAGAGTTGTCTTGTCTTGCTTTGATGCTTTCTTGCACAGATGATACCAACCCTTCCACAGAAAGATAGACAACACTGTCTGCTCCTAGAGGAAATAAAGGGTCATCAGTTAAACATGCAGTATTGTACCAAATGCAATACTCTTTGGAAATGCAGTCACATTATCATATGGATTATGAAAGAGAATGATTAAAAAAAAATTAAGACTATAATATGTCTTGCCCTTCTCACATGCTTTGTGCAGGGAGCAGACTCACTGAAATCTAGACATAAAGTTCTGTTGGTAACAAATATGTGATATATAACTGCAAAAACAGAAGCAAAGTCCAGAGTGTGTACTAAGACTCCCTGAACTCCCTGTAGTCTCCCAGAGTTAAACATTAGTTCAGGTCTGGAAGCAGAGGTGTGTGTGGGTAGTGCTTCCCAAATCTGAGCACCAAGGACTACCAAGCCTCTCCGGGACCTGGAGGAGGGGAAGACCATTATGTTAAAAAAAAATCATTATGCAATTCATGCAAATTTTCTAGCAGTAGGAATGTTTGATAAGCTTTTCATATCATTAGTTTTCTATCCTTTGCACTCATGTGGTGAATAATACTTAAAAGCGAGATCCTAGAAACTTGAAATATTTCCATACACCTTCACAATAATTTTGGGAAAAAAATTTCATCACAGTATTAGACAGTGAAAGTAAGTATTTAACACAGGAAATCAGAGTTTACAGTGGAACATAAACTGTTGATCTTTCTTTTGTTCTGCTGCAAACACAACTCAAAAT